CATGCAATAAATCCGAGATTAAATAGTTACAATTTTTAAGCGAGCTTACATACGTATATGTATTAACGTTATTATTAAATTCTCAAGTTAGAACCATTCGTCTTATTACACGATGGGAAGACTAAAAATGATTATTAATGGGATCGAAAAAAGTCGAAAATAATATCTGTTTTTCTTATCAAATCTTATATTATTATTATTGAAAGTTCTGATTTCAAAATTGTTGCAATAACTGTATGGATATTTTATTGTGTGCCACTGTACATATATATATTATCCATATTAATTAAAATTTTATTATTTTAATAAGCCAATTTTAATAAGCCTATTTAAGAAATGTTTTATATTAAGCATGTTGACACATAGTATGTATAAGATGGAAACTAATGATATAACTCGTGGACAACTCTTATAACAATCTAAGATTACATGTACACTGAGAAAAATAGGTTGGTGTACCACACCAATCAAAGTACAAAAAAATGCGTAAGCATTGTTTGATGGTAATTAAAGAGATAATATATTGTTAAAAAAACCTGTGCCAAAATTTTTCTAATTTTTTGATAATTTTGAAAAGAGAAGTAAAATGGAAGAATATATAGTTAACGAAATTTTATATAGTTTAACAAAGAAAAAAATTGTGCAAATTAGAAATTTGCACTTGACTTCCTCATAGAGGAAGTGATGTCTTAAGATGCTAATACGGCCCTCTGATTGGCTGATGACGCCTTAAGACTATACTTAAGACAATCTTGGATATAAGACCCGACTATAAATACCGGCCTTAAAGAATTATATATGAAATAAAAATAGAAAAGACTGAAGAATATAATAAAAATAAAAAATTTTGGTTATTTTTTTTAACAGAAATTAACCCCTTTATTATTAACAATTTTTATTAATTCTATTATATTTTTCAGTCTTTTCTACCCCTATTTCATATATAATTTGTTAAGATTTGGTTGATCAGTTCTGGAGTTGTAGAAATTTCTGTAAATTTGGCACAGACATACATACATACATACATATACACATACCGAAATTTTTTTTAATGCAATATTTCGACGTTTTAGAACACTCTGAACATATTGACATTAAAAACTCAAAAAAAAAACAATCTTTTCTTTGGTTTTTTCTACCCTTATTTTATATATAATTTTTTTAAATTTGGTTGATTAAAGCTAACTTTATACGCAATCAAAGATTCATATACGAATTTACGAAAACAAAGCTTCCTCTATGAGGAAGTAATATTGTTTAATCTATATTTCTCCATGTAAACTTTCGGTTTTAAAATTTTCAGATATAATAAACAAAATTTTTTCTTAATATTAATTTTTTTTATTTCAATATTTATTGCTTTTACCTAGCAATTTTAAACATTCCGCAGGCATGTTGAAGGAATGCTATAAGCATTGATCCAGACGCTACTAATACGGTTAATCCTATAAATATAGCTAAATTTATGTAGAGCAGCAATAGGTAGTAATATTTTTCTTGATCGATAAAACACTCAGTTGAGACTTGTAGACGATATGATCGAGACTTGTTTGCAGATAAAATAATGTTGTTAAAATCTGGCCACAATTGGGCGACAGTAATAACAAATACACTGCAAAAGAGACATACTAAACAACATTATAAAGACTTACAATTAGTCATATAAATTGTGGTTTTTTAACAATCTAAAATTTTAAAATTTATATTAGGATAAATACTGTATACGCGGTATTTGATATATGATTTTTTTCCCATAATTCAAATATATTTTCAAAATGCAGATTGTCCCGTTTTCATTATTATCTTTTATTTAATGCTTTTAACAATTATTAAAGTTTGGTTTTTATTTGAGCTATAAGTAATAAATATATAACTTAAAAATTTAATATTTACAGCGGTAGTAAAAAAATAAAATGTTTTTTACACACAATTATTAGATATTGTATTGTAAGACATTTGATATCTGATAAAATTACATACATTTTATTATAATAAGAATATATAAATAATTTAATCGCATAATCACATAATTATAATTATTGAAACGTATTGAAAAGAAAAAAAAATACAGAACAAAATATTTAATTTTAAGAATTTTAAGAATTGATTCTTGCTGTTTTCATTATTATACTTTTTAATATATTTAAATTTAAATAAAAAAATGGCGTTTTGTCTTTAAAATATTTCTTATGTTATAAAAACTTTAAACTTTTGGATGTATTTTGAATATTTTGGATATAAAATGAATAAAAGATAAAACATATTGCCTTACTTGTAAATGTAATCGTATAACGGTTTGCGATGTCCCCATATCTATCTATGATGGTAATTTCGTTTTTGTCCATTAAATCATCATAAATACACTGAAGTTGCTCCACTAAATTTTTTACCTGTTTGTTTAATAAGTTCTTATGTTATTTTTGTATCTCTTACAGCTCCTGCACACAAATCGCGGAAGCGGCAACCGTATCCGCAGCTTGTATGCTGAAGCAATTAGTAAAAATTTAAAATATTAGATGATTGCATAAGTTCGTACCTGATTTTCATAGTTGGCATTAAGTATAAAAATCGGGCACGAACTTATGCAATCATCTAATAGAAAATTATAATATTTATAGAATTATAAATATTTATTTAAACAAATATAATAAATAATTAACTCACTGTATTACTGTTAACGCAAAACGAGTTGTATTTTATTGCTATGCAAATGATACCAGAAGACAAAGCGAAAATCTTTATAATATCGTCTGTAGTACATTTAGTAGTTACAAATGTTGTAAACTGTAATCAATAATTTTCTGAAGAAGTTAGAAACATACATATTTTTATCTCTTATCAAAGTAATCTATGTATATTCTGCCTAATCATACGAAGTAAAAATGTTTGATTTATTGGAGCCGAACGCTTGAAACAATTCGCGCTGCTTTCTATCTGTTTTCTATCTGCCGATAATTGACCATTCTACTTTGTTTAATATTGTAAAACGTAAAACAACAATTTATAATTATGATAGTGCCTCATATATTTAATAATCTATTTAGAATTATTAATATTATTAAAAGAACGTAGATTTGATTACTCGTTAACATCTTTGTAGCTTAATTTAGAGGAATTTTAGATACTCAATTATTTGTCACTCTCAATCTATGTTTTTATTAAAGAAACATCTCCAAATTAATCAAAAAAAAATATCGAGAAAGTCTGTATATTAAATAAAATAATACAATCAGAATATCAACATACCTGACATATAATAAATGTTACAATAATACTAATGCAACAAAATGAGTGTAGTCGAGCAAGTTTCGATTTTTGGTAAGGCCATAAACCAACTATCAGCAAAAGAGTTCTATTAAGACTAAAATATTTATCCACGACACTGATCATTTCTCTGCTAGCATTAGGGTGCGTATAATGGGAATAAAAGAAATGAAGGTTTTCTTATCCCCACTATTTGGTCAATCTATTAAATATTTATATCTATATTTTCTACGTCTTTTCTGCTAGCAAAAATATTAACGTTCTATAATTTGAAATAATTCCGTAATTTAATGTACTTGCAACGTAAAAAATACAAAATACCTTCGTGAAATTGAAACACGCCGATTAAGTAATCGATTCAATGGCGAGAGAAATTCAACAGATGTTTTATTTCTCACAGTATATTGTGCAAGAGGAAAGTCATGGGGTAAAAATTGTACATCCGCACTAGACATGTCTCAGCGACTCTTCTGCACATGCTTCAATTCGATGTATATATATTCGTATGTTACATTTGATCCGTAATAGTGAGAATTCTTTAACAGTGTTACGTCCACTACACAAGTAAGTTGCAAGCGCATATAATATTATATACATATATAAAATTGTATATATAAAGAGGTTTGTCTTATACATTCTATTAAATATGTATGAATAAAGGACAAAACTTACTCAAAAAATGTTAAACTGAAAGCAATTATTATGACTGTTCGGTTATTATTGTATTCGGTTGATCGACTAAGTTTAAATATTAATTACATTTTCCTTTAGTACAATTTTAATGTTATACAATTTAATTGCGTAGTCTAACTAAAACGGCACAAAATAACAATAAAATCGAAACATTTGCGTTAACATTTTTGTTGGAAAGTTGCCATTAAATAATTGATTTAATGTTAAAAAAATTCTACAGATATTTTTTTTCTTTAAAACATTATCCTCACACACAACAGATGTTCTAAAGTGAAAGTTAGCAAACATATTATTTTCTTTCCGGCGATATTTAACCATATGTCCATTTCAATATGTATACTTGTACGTTGTATGTTACATATGATTTATCGGGGGAAAAAAAGTACTGCACCCATTATATAACATCAAAATTATGTAATATTTTCTATTATATTATTAATTTTTGTAAATTGATTCTTATTTTCTTATATTTACACACACACACATATATATATATATATATATATATATATATATATGCACATATAGTTTATATATATCTAACTATTTTCTTAAGTTATACATATACGTATGTATATATTTTATAAAACATGAAAAAATATAAATTTCCTCTTACCTCATGAGTATCTGTCTCATCGCATATTTTGACAGTTTTGAGTATCAAAGGGTTAATAGTGTCATGTAATAGTAATATAGTATAATATTACAGATAAATAGCATGTGCGTAGTGCTATTGTAATGTCTATAGTAAATATTAAATAAAAAATTAAGAAATAATGGCAGAACTGAAAATAATATTTATTTTGAGAGTACAATGTTTAAAAGCAAAATAAAATGATAATCAAATAATATATAATATGAAATCAGATTAAAATGTCCAAAAATGTTAAAATAGTACTAACATAAACTATTTAGAAAAGAAGAATAACACGTAAAATAAAGTCACTACTGCTTTACTTCATTTTTATCATATAATTTGTAAGAATTTAGAGTAAAGACATATTAATTACACATTGCATAGTGCAAACACATATTAATTACTTTTTTCTTATATTAAGAATTATTATAAAATCTTTTTTCGACCTCTTATTTTGCATCTCTTATTTAGCATGCTGTATTTACTTTTAACACATGAGGTATGTTGCACGCAATCTTTCATTAACTTTCCATTGATATAGTACTAATTGATTTATTATGTTTTTATTACCGCATGGAATACATGAGAGTAAAGTAAGATACGGATGCATTGAATAACTGTAACAAATCACATTAGCTTTTATTTCGTCGCACTGGGAAATAATAGTATATTGTACAACTAGCGGGAAAAGTGGTCGATTCTGAATGAGTGTGAAGTTGGTCGCACGAGCGAAGCAAGCGAAGCGACCATCACACTCATTTGGGCTCGACCACTCTTCCTGCACGAATTGTTCATACTATTTTTTCTAACAAAAGCGTGAAACAGGCCGCTTTTCGCGCTTGTTTTACAATTTCATTTCTCCACTAGTTGAGAAATGGCTCCATGTTTATATTTCACATGTAAAATATTTATATATGTTAAATATGTTTATATATTGATATACGAAATATGTATATAAAATATTTGTACCGTGCTAAAACATTCTAAAGATGCTATGAACAATCCACCAACATGCAGACCAAAACTTTTATTGCCTCTTTGTAACAGAAACAATATCAGCTTTTGTACAGGTAAAGGAGTGCTGTACCATCGAACTTTGTATCTGAAAGAGATAACATAACATGAAGAGTTTAAAGAAATAAGAACAATTATATAAAATTTTTACATTACATGTATATCTTTAAGTGTAATTAATTAAATCTATATCGATAAATGTATAAACATATAATATAAAGAAAACATATTGCTTACGCTGTAAGAAATACGTGATTATTATGATCTATAATTTGTTGTCCGACAAAATTAGATAAAAACATGTATATAAAACACATAAATGCAAATATAAGATTAACAAGAAGTTCCTCAGTATTATATTCGATTAATACAATCTGAAAAACCTATAATGTATGGTATTGAGATCAATTCCTACGAGAAGTATAGTACAAATATAATTTGTGGAAGAATTTAGTAACTTGTTAAAAATTAACGTCTTATATTAAACTACAAGTATTTTCTTGTACATGAAAATTATAAATTTTAATTAACAAAACTATACAATGTTTCTTATTGTTATACATTATAATTCTTTGATTATTTTTGTGGTAATTTTTATTTAATAAGTTTTGAAATGCATAATTTTGTTCTCTAGCTTTTTTACATAAAGAGACTTTTGTAAATTAAATATCTGACAAAAGTATAGTAATATTTTCTTGACATAATATTTTTTATTTATTATGGAAAATCCGTATGTCAGTAATTTACGAATCTGCATACTCATTTTGAAGTTAGATAATTCTAGAATTAAGTCATTGATTATCTTGATAATGTTAAAATCAAAATTTGAATAACATTTTGCTCCACAATCGTTATCCTAAAATTCTTAATTGAAGATATCAATGTTGTTAGTAGAAAGACAAGATCATTAACGTAATAAAGCAACATGTAAAATAATATGCAAATTATTAAGTGGGGATTTATTAAGTAGAAAAGAAGATTTACCCGAAAAATATTTAGGCTCAAACTGAGCACTCCGACTAGTATTAAAAACATGAATGATATTTCAAATTCGGATATTAGATGGTTGGAAAATCTATGGAAACAAAAAGATATATGTGTTATTGCGTACACTATAGTTCACTTATTATAAAACATGTATAGGTATACCAACGTTGTAGCTTTCCGATGAATATCTACAGCATGAATAATGCCTTTATAAGCTCGAATTTCGCTCTGCAGATTAATATTTTTTGTTACATAAAATTGTATTGCTCTCTCAATACGATAACTGTAAATAATTTGCTTATTAATATTTATATAAAGATTTATGTAAAATGGTGAATAATTTCAAAAAAATAACAAATTATGATTTTGTCTCGTTAATATTAGTTCAAAACATTAGATATACAAACTTTTATAATAAAATTGCAATATTTGTAATATCACGTAAACCTTTATTAAAAATTTTGAGATATAAAATTTTTAATATTTAATAGAACAGATATAAATAAAATATAATGTACTTTTCTTACTTGATTTTATTTGATACAAAATTCCACTTTTAACGCAAAACTAAAAAATAATTTTACGTACGCTATATTCTACAAGTATTAAAAAATGTATATCAAAAGTTTATTAATTTAATATGCTAACTATTTAAATGCACTTAGCATCCTCACATGTTTTGCAAAATAAAACTTTATATTTGTATAAAAAAATGTTTATCAAATGTGAATGTTAATAAGAAACGGAACTAATTTTTAATTAAAATCTTTTTATTATTCTTCCGTTTATTATTTTACCTAGCAATTTCAAACATTCCACAGGCATGCTGAAGATATGCAATGAGCATTGTTCCTGTTGCTACTATTGCGATACACCCTATGGCCATAGCTATATTTATATGAAAGAACGGTAAGTAAAAATACACTTTCTGATCTAAAAAATATTCAGTTGAAATCTGCAGGTGATGTGGTCGAGACACGTTCGCAGATAATATAATGTTAATAAAATTTTGTCCTATTTGGGCACCCATGAGAATAATTGTGCTAGAAAAGATAAACACTAAACAACATTACAAAATAATTATACAAAATGTTCTTTAACAATTTGAAATTTTACATTGCTACAAGTATATTGCATTCTAAAATATTTTATACTCTTGAATCTCTTCACTTTAAATAAAAACATAATAATCCTTTATTATATAGATTATATATTTAATTTACTATCTTCAATGTAAATTATTTTTAATACAATTAGTAAATATAGGATTTATAATTTTAAGAAATATTTATTATATTTAAAATTTTATAAGAAGCACTGTGCAGTGTGCAGTGTGTTATTGCATATTTTAATGTCTACATAAATTATTTCATTTCTTAGACATACTTCTTAAAATATTATATTTATAACACAGTATAAAAAGATTAATAATTTTTTAATTCCAACAGCATTATTTGATTCTAAGATACTTCTGTACGTGTTTATTTTTGATGCATTTAAGTACAAGCAATGTGTGACACTACTTTAAGCAATTCGAAATATAAGTATGATGTATAAAAGTTTTAATAGATAACATATTAATTGATGTGTAATCAAAAAGGATTGGAATAGTAAGCAAGAGATGTCTTACTTGTAGCCGTAAGGGTAGCCGTATAATATTTAGCGTTGTTTCCATATCTTTCTACGATATCAAATTCCTTATTGTCTCTCAGATCATTATAGATGTGCTGAATTTGTTCTATTAAATACTTTATCTATACTTTTAATAAATTTTTATACTTGTTTTAATAAAATTTAAAAAAATTAATAGTTTTCGGATTTTATATTTAAAGTATTAATTTGAACAAATACAATATACAATCAACTTACCGTTTCACTATTAATGTAAAAGGAATTGTATTTTATAATAAAACTGCTAAAAATAAGTACAGAAGAAAAAATCTTGATGATCAATTCTACAGTACATTTTGATGACAAAATTGTTGTAAGCTATAAGTAATAATATTTCTTAAAGAATTTAAATGAAAAAAATGTTGATATGCTTTTACTTTTACATATTTTATTTTGACATATTTTAGGTTATTCTTAGTTGTTATTTAATATATATATATATATATATATATATATATATATATATATATATATAAGAATTTTAAGTTAATCGTATAATTATAATTTTTATTTTATGTAAGTTGAATGTAACTAACGTACAATAGAATACAACATAATAACATATGTTGTTACATATACGTGTATATAAACGTATATGCGCACTCAAATAGTTTCTTTATGCAAATAAAGAATATAAGACTGTATATATTTTTTATACACTTCCAAAATAAACCAAGAATAGTTTTTGTATTTAACTGCACAATTGACATATTCTATAACAGAATTAACACTTTAAAGAAAATACTGAGTTTAAATTGACAAAAAAAATTTGCAAGTACGAATGGAATATGCCAACTTTAATTCTAATAATGTATATATTATCTTAGTACATGTCTATAGATCATAGAATTAAAATTGATATACCTGAAATATAATGCAAGTTATAAGAATAATAAAAATGCAGATTAATTGCAATCGAGCAAGTTTTGATTTTTCGTAAGGCCACAAACCAATTATCAGTAAAAGAGTTCGATTAAGACTGAAATATTTATCCACGACACTGATCATCTCTCTGCTAGCATTAAAGTACGTATAATGGAAATAAAAGAAATAAAGGTTTGTTTATCCCCACTATTTGGTCGATCTATTAAATATTTATATCTGTATTTCCTACGTCTTTTCTTCTAGCAAAAATATTAACGTTCTATAATTTGAGATAATTCCGTAATTTAATGTAATTGCAACGTAAAAAATACGAAATACCTTCGTGAAATTGAAACACTTGCAATTTAACACTATATCACCAAGATGCGGTCGCCGATTATGTAATCGATTCAATGGCGAGAGAAATTCAACAGATGTTTTTTTCTCATAGTATATTGTGCACGAGGAAAGCCATGAGGTAAAAATTGTTCATCCGTACTGGGCATGTCTCAGCGACACTTATGCACATGCTTCAGTTCGATATGTACATTCGTATGTTACATTTGATCCGTAATAGTGAGAATTCTTTAATGATATTATGTCAACCAAACAAATTAATTGTAAGCATATATACATATGTTTATGATATTGTATATATTGTATAGATAAGGAGTGTCACGTTTGACTACATTCTTGCCTGCAGAGTGACTGCCTATGTACAAGCATTATTGCGCATATGTAATAATTAAAAATACGTACGTACGTTTGCGCACATGGCCTTATTACGCACAAACACATTGCACACATGATTTTATTGCACACATGCAGATTGTACACATGACATTATTGGACATATACAAATTGCACACATGACTTTGAGAGCTTTCTAGCAAGCAACACAAGTCGACACAAACGTTTTTTCTTTTTAGCAATTAGTAACAATGATAAAACGACACTTGTGTCGACTTGTGTCGCTTGCTGAAAAGCTTCCTTTATTGCGCACATACACATGTTTTCAACTTTCTATACGAAGCAATATCCACTTCTTCCCATTACTGCTGCAGGGGGGAGGACGTAGCCACTCCTTTGCCTACATGTGTGCTGTCTATACACACATCAATAAATTACTTCCCTTAGCACTGACACAAATTGTTATATTTCTCAAATCTTTTTGTTAATAACTTTTTAATAAACAACGAGCAACGGCACAGTATATAAGTACAAACAGTAAGGACACTGAGCGTCGGCACCTTTGATGTAGTGAGTCCTAGGTCACATGACCTCTCTGTAGGATAGGGGGCTGTAAGAGAGAAAGAGAGAGAAATATCTTCTTTCTCTTTGTCATACATACAGGCCGTCATGTTCTCTGTAGGATATATCGATCATGCGCACTGGAAATTGACGACCACTAAAAAAGTAGTGTCCCTACTGTATGTACTTATACTGTGGCAATGGCTAAAACCTGAAAAAAAGTTGTGTGTGCAAAGTGTTAATATATATAATTTTCTTATTTTATGTGTGCAATGTGTACGAGCGCAATAATGTCATATGTGCAATCTGCATGTGTACAATGTGTTTGTGCGTAATAAAACCATGCATATGCGCAAACGTACGTTCGTATTTTTAATTATTACTGTGCGCAATAATGTTTGTAGACAATCGCTCTGTAGGCAATTGGGAATGTCGGCAAACGAAGCTGTTGACAACGGCGAATGTAGGCAAACGGAACCTCCCGTATATCTATATATGTATATACGTATAGATTTACTTTCATAATTTTTGATTTTTTAAGTATATTCTGCTGAATAGAACTAAATAAAACCAAAAATTAAGAAATCAGGTAATCAAGAAAATATTTAAGAAGGAAATAAATATGAATTTTAAATCTCAGTTTTAGGAACATCAATAAAAAAGACATAAACAAAATCAATATTAGAACAATTAAATGTTTTGAAAGAGCTGATGTATTGTTAAATAAGAAGGAAAAAGTATCAAATTATTATTATTCATTTTAATTTATTTTTGTAAATATAAATTAATTGGTAATACAAATAGATACAATATTTCATAACTTTGTAAATGTTAATATCGAAATTTTTCTACGTATAATATGAATATTAAACATAAATTAAAGTTTTTAGTTTTCCTTTCGCGATGTTATACAGGTATGTATATGTATATATGTTACTTACAGGTATAAAGGCGATAGAAATACATATTAATTATTTTTTTCTTCTATTAAGAATTATTATAAAATCTCTTTTTCAAACTTTTATTTTGCATCTCTTACTTAGCATGCTGTATTTATTCTACACATGAAGTATTTACACATAATCTTTTATTAATTTCCCATCGACATAGTATTAATTGATATATTATGTTGTTATTATCGCATTGAATACATGATAGTAAAGTAAGATATGGATGCATTGAATAACTGTAACAAATCATGTTTTGCTTTTATTTTGTCGCATTAAGAAATAAATATATTTTCAATATATTATAAAATGAAATTTTTGTATATTGTAAATAACATTATTAATACAATTATATATCACATGTGAAATATTTGTATATGTTAAATATTTGTATATTGATATATGAAATGATATATAAAATGATATATATAATATTTTGTACCGTGCTAAAACATTCTAAAGATGCTATGAACAATCCACCAACATGCAGACCAAAACTTTTATTGCCTCTTTGTAACAGAAATAATATCAGCTTTTGTACAGATAAAGGAGTATTGTACCACTGAACTTTGTATCTGAAAGAGATAACATAACGTGAAGACTTCAAAAAAATAAGAACAATTATATAAAATTTTTACATAGATATTACATATAGATATCTGTAAGTGTTATTAATTAAATCTATGTCGCTAAATATATAAATATATAATATAAAGTAAACATATTGCTTACGCTGTGACAAATATGTGATTATTATGATCTATAATTTGTTGTCCCACAAAATTGGATAAAAACATATATAAAAAACATATGAATGCAAATATAATATTAATAAGAAGTTCCTCAGTATTATATTCAATTAATACAATCTGAAAAATCTAATATACAGTATTGAGATCAATTCTCCTACGAGAAATATAATATAAATATAATTTGTGGAAAAATTTGGTAACTTGTCATATAAATTAATGTATTAAATTACAAATATTTTTATACATAAAAATTATAAATTTTAATTAACAAAATTATTCTTTATTCTTATGCATTGTAAATCTTTACATAATTTTGTCTTAATTTTTTATTTATTAAATTTTAAGATGCATAATTTTATTTTCTAACTATTTTGCATAAAGAGAATTTTGTAAACTAAATATCCGGCAAAAGTATAGATAGTAATATTATTTTGACATAATATTTTTTTTTCTAACGCGAGCGTGAAATGGGCCGTTTTTCGCGCTTGTTTTGAGTGAGCAAAACGATCCATTTCGCATCGATGACATAAGCGTTGAGAAATGGAGTCATTTCTTAACTGTGGAGAAATGAAATTGTAAAACAAGCGAAAAGCGGCCTGTTTCACGCTCTTGTTAGGAAAAATAGTATGAACAACTCATGGAAAGAAGAGTGGTCGAGTTCAAATGAGTGTGATGGTCGCACTCGTTTCGTTCGTGCGACCAACTTCACATTCATTCAGAATCGACCACTTTTCCCACTCGTTGTACAATATATTATTTTATTATGTAAAATTCGTATGTCAATAATTTAAGAATCTGAATTTATTTTAAAGTTAGATAATTCTAGAATTAAATCGCTGGTAACATTAAAATAAAAAATTTGAATAATATTTTGCTCCACAATCATAATTCTAAAATTCTTAATTAAAGGTATATTAATGTTGTTAATAGAAAGACAATAAAGTCATTAACGAAATAAAGCAACATGTAAAATAATATGCAAATTATTAATTGGGGATTTATTAAGTAGAAAAAAAAGGTTTACCCGAAAAATATTTAGGCTCAAACCGAGCACTCCGACTAGTATTAAAAACATGAATGATATTTCAAATTCGGATATTAGATGGTTGGAGAATCTATAGAAACAAAAAGGTATATGTGTTATTGCGTATACTATAATTCACATATTATAAAACATGTATACCAACGTTGTAGCTTTCCGATGAATATCTACAGCATGAATTATGCCTTTATAAGCTAGAATTTTGTTTCGCAGGTTATTTTTTGTTATATAAACTTGTATTGCTCTCTCGATACGGTAACTGTAAATAATTTATTTATTATTATTTATATGAAGCTTTATGCAAAATAGTCAATAATAAAAAAAAATTTGTCCAGTTAATATTTGCCCCAAAACATTTAGATATACGAGAACGTTTATGATAAAATTGCAATATTTGTAATATTATGTAAACCCTATTATAAGATATAAACAAAATTTAATGTACTTTTCTTACTTAATTTTATTAAATTCAAAATTCCACTTTTAATGCAAAACTAAAAAATAATTTTAAGTACGTTATATTCTATATGTATTAGAAAATGCATATCAATTAAAGATTATTATTTTAATATGCCAACTATTTAAATGTATTTAGCATTTTTACATATTTTGTATAATAAAACTTTATATTCGTATAAAAACATATTTGTCAAATCTGAATGTTAATGGAAAACGGAACTAATTTTTAATTAAAATTTTTTTGTTATTTTTACGTTTATTATTTTACCTAGCAATTTTAAACATTCCGCAGGCATGCTGAAGATATGCAAGGAGCATTGACCCTGTTGCTACTAATGCGATACACCCTATAGCCAAAGCTACATTTATATGAAAGAGAGGTAAATAAAAATACACTTTCTGATCTAAAAAATATTCAGTTGAGATCTGTATGTGATGTGGTCGAGACACGTTTGCAGATAATATAATGTTGATAAAATTTTGCCATAATTGGGTACCCATAAAAATTACTATACTAGAAAGGACTAAACAACATTATAAAATAGTAATACGAAATGTTCCCTAAAAATTTGAAGTTTTACATTGCTACAAGTATATCACATTCTTATACAATATTTTATGTTCTTGAATCTCTTTACTTTAAATAAAAACATAATAATCCTTATTATATAGATTATATGTTTACTATCTTCAATGTAAATTATTTTTAATTTTATTTACTTACAATTAGTAAGTATAGGATTTATAATTTTAAGATATATTTGTTATTTAAAATCTTATAAAGAGCACTATGCAGTGTGTTATTGTATATTTTAATGTCTACATAAATTATTTCATTTCTTATATAGACATGCTTCTTAAAATATTATATTTATAACGCAGTATAAGAAGATAAAATATTTTCTAATTCCAAAAGCATTATTTGATTTTAAGACACTTCTGTATGCTTTCATCTTTGATGCGTTTAATTAAGTCCAAGCGACAATGTGATACTACTTTATGCCATTCGAAATAAGTATTTTAATGTATAAAAAAGTTTTAATAAAAAATATATTAATTGATTTGTAATCGAAAAGGAATAGTAAATACAAGAAAGATTAGAAATCCGAAGATGTGTGTGTCTTACTTGTAAGGATAGCCGTATAATATTTAGCGTTGTTTCCATATCTTTCTATGATATCAAATTCGTTATTGTTTCTCAAATCATTATAGATTTGCTGAATTTGTTCTATTAAATACTTTATCTGTACTTTTAATAAATTTTTAAACTTATTTTAATAGAATTTATAAAAATTAGTAGTTCTCAGATTTTTTATATTTAAATTATTTATTTGAACAAATACAATAGACGATCAACTTACCGTTTCACTATTAATGTAAAAGGAATTGTATTTTATGACAAATACGCTAAACATAAGTACAGAAGAAAAAATTTTGATGATAAATTCTGCAGTACATTTTGAAGACAAAATTGGTGTAAGCTATAAGTAATAATATTTTTTAAAAGATCTGAATGAAAAAACGTCGATATTCTCTTTACTTTGACATATTTTAAGCCATTCTTAGTTATTATTTAATATAACAATGTTAAATTAGTCATATATTATTTCACGTAAGTCTAATGTAATTAACATACAACAGAATATGACATAATAACATATTGCTATTTATATACGTGCATACAGACGTATATGCGCACTTAAATAGATTTTTTAGGTAAATAAAAAATAAGAAGTATATAGTATATTATTACACTTCCAAAATAAACAAAGAATAGTTTCTGTATTTAACTGCACAATTGATATATTCTATAACACAATTAACACTTTTAAGAAAATATTGAGTTTAAATTGATAGAAAGATTTGCAAGTATAATCGGAATATGCCAATTTTAATTTTAATGATAATGATATACATATATTATCTTAGTATGTGTCTATAGATCATAGAATTATAATTTGCATACCTGAAATATAATGCAAGTTATAAGAATAACATAATTGCAGATTAATTGCAATCGAGCAAATTTTGATTTTTTATAAGGCCACAAACCAACTATCAGCAAAAGAGTTCGGTTAAGACTGAAATATTTATCCACGACACTGATCATCTCTCTGCTAGCATTAAAGTACGTATAATGGAAATGAAAATGAAAGAAATGAAGGTTTTGTTTATCCCCACTATTTGATTGATCTATTAAATATATATATCTGTATTTTCTACGTTTCTTCTTCTAGCAAAAATATTAACGTTCTATAATTTGAGATAATTCCCTAATTTAATGTAATCGAAATTTAAGAGGTACGAAATAACTTCGTGAAATTGAAACACTTGCAATTTAACGCTATATCACCAAGACGCGGTCGCCGATTAAGTAATCGATTTAATGGCGACAGAAATTCAACAGATGTTTCTTTCTCATGGAGTATAATCCACGAGAGAAGTTTTGAAGTAAAAGTTACGCAAGCGCATTAACCGTTTCTTACTTACCGGTGGTGTATTCATCTTTGTTCTTTCAACGGGTACAGTCGTAAGTTACTTTTGAGATTCTTCAGAATAAAAATGCTTTAAAAATATGATATCTACTATAAAATTACGATCTGTAAAGTATATAATATCATTTCTCGCAAAATAAATAATTTTGTTTTATATATTTTTTTATTATCCAGCATCTTTTTTCCTTTTTATTAAAAATTATAAAATTTTAGAATATAAAGATGTATGGAGTTAAAAACTTAAGCAAAGAAAGAATTTTGTAAAAGCAAAAAATTTTGCAAGAGCAGTAACATACATTTTTAAAATGCAAGTAAATAAAAAAGTAAAACAAAATTTCTACTATGTGTTAGAGCGAGGTTTTTAAAACATGAAAGTACTGTTAATAAAATAAAAGACATACAACAAATTATTATAACTTATTTCAACTTATTCTCACATATTTTACAAATGTGTAATAATTGATTGTACGGAATGTAAAATAGTTATATTATGTTTCTTACAAAAATTACTATAGAACTTCTTAGTTTGTTGTTATCTAATTTACATACATTTTTTTATATAATCCGCGATATTTCTTACTTAAGGTGTACTGTATCATTTTTTACTAAATTCATCCCCATGGTGTTAGTCGATATGTTTTGCTATCACTATCTCGTTGAATGCATAACGATAAAATAAGATATAGATGTATTTAACAACTGCAACAAATAATCTTTGTTTTATTTCTTTAAACGAAGGAAAAAGAAAGACAAAGTGAGAGAGGGAGAGACGAAAAAAATATAATATCTATATTCATTTTATTATCATATTTAAAAAAAAATGCCGTACCGTAGCAAAACACTCCAAAGATGCCACAAACAATCCACCTAAGGTTAGCCCATAAAATTTGTTGCCTCTCTGTATTAGTAATAGTATTAGCTTTTGTATATGTAGAGGAGCTAGATACCATTGGATTTTGTATCTACATATGACGATATAATAAATCGATAATTTGAGAAAAGAAAGAGACGAGTAATATCGCATTATATTTGTTTTCGTGTATCATATTAAAAAATTAAAAAGTAAAATATTAATTTCTACTTCTATTATTGTAAAATAATATAATAACATAATAATATAATAATATAATAACATAGTAAGAAAATATTTCTTACGCCGAATCAAACATATAATTATAGTGATCCGTAACTTCTTGTCCAATGAGATTGGCTAGAAACATGTATAAGAGACAACTAATTGATGATAAATAAGGCATGGAAAATTCTTCAATATTATAACCCGATGATGTAATCTGAAAAACCTAATAGGGCGAAAATTAACATTGTAATCAATTTAAATAAAAAAATCGTGTGACTATGTAAAGAATATAATTAATATACATATTATCAAAGAAATCTAAACATAAGTTTAAAATTAACATAATTCAGAATTTAAATTATGGAATATCTGAATAATACTGAAATCCAAATTTGAAAAAGCTTTGACTTGCTTACAAGCAAAAATTCTTTATTTAACATCTTGTGACTACCATGGTTGTCACGATCGGCGCTTTTCAGTGGCGTCCTAGTGGTCACTAATAATTAGCTTCTTCAAAATTTTTAAAAACATTAATGCCATTTAATATAAAATTTTTTGTTACATAAATAACTGGATAACAACGTAAAGTAAAAAGTTTGCAACTTAACACACTATTCATATGAAGATATAGTCTTATTTAATAATATTATATAATATTTTATTTATATGATTACCTATGATAATGAAAATTTTACTATGGGCGTACTGTGGTAAGATATATAAAACTCACTGGACAGACAATGTGTGTATTAAAATGTTTTAAGTTATTAAATAACAAAAATATTCTTACATTATTTTAAGCATTAAGCAATTGTTATTCATTTCTTACTTAATTTTACTACGTTAAAAATTGCAAATTTTATATAAATCTTACTTTAACACAAAATTATAATTTAAATATTAGGAAAATATTTTTAAAAGTTATATAATTATGTAGTGTATATTTATATAAAGATAAAAAGTTACGGAGTTGAAAATGAATAAACTAGTTTTTCAATCAATCATTAATCATCAAATATTAATTAATGTCATCTTATTAGATTATTTAGAAATAATCTATTAAGGTTAGAAATAAACAAAACTTACTCGAAATATATTGAAGCTTAAAGTTATCACTGCGATTCCCATTAAAGCCATGAACGTTACTTCAAATGTGGATCGTATTAATTCGCAATACCTTTAAATATAAAAATACATAATAATTAAAGAAAAATATATGTATGTGTTAATACATTATTATATAATAAAATAAATACTAACGCAATTGCTTTTCGTTGAATGTCTATAGCACATATTAAACTTTTATGAAGCAAATTCGTATTCTGCAGTATAACATTTTGTGATACATAAATTTTCATCGCGCTTTCGATACGGTAACTGTGAATAATTAAAATGTTTTAGTTATGTATAAATTTATCTGACAAAGCTACGAAGTAAATAATATTCTCAAAATTGGGTAACAAATAAAATATAATAAATTAATTTTGGGAGGTTAAGAAAGTGTGGGTAATGTAGAATAGTGGAGTAATATAAAATGCTACAGTATCTAGCCTATTAATTGTTACAATCTAGTGGTCAGCAGTAAAATCACTAGCTGTTGAACTCCTAACTGAACGTACAAAGCAACAGTGTATAGTACAAGGTGTCATGTAGTTACATATAATTTAAGATTTTGTGTATCGCTACTTGCGTAAGTTACTTTATAAACTTTTATTTTGCAGTCAATCTACTTCACAGATTCATAGTTGCTTTAAATAGTTCTCAAGTTATCTTAAAAAAAGTTCAGGATATTCCATATTATACTCACACTTTCTCTACTTATGTATTATATAAGAATGAATTGGAAGAAATAGTAAACATCCTTTAAAATCTCTGTTAAGTTTAAAGATAGATAAAATATCTAACAAAAAAGATGGTATACTTAAGAGTCCAAATGTGATGGCTTTCTTAAGTTTATTTTAAAATAACGAATTTTAGTATTTGAAAACTCTTTGCATGTAAATGCTATATACGTATATGTATAAGTTTATTTTTTTAATGATTTATGCTTTCTATATACTTCGCGGCTTATTACAACAAATTAAGATATTGTTTCACATTTCTATAAAATAGGAAACACGATTCTTTCTTTTAATACAAATTTTTAATTATTCGTATGTTTCTTTTTTTACATTAAACATATATGTATTATGTTTTTACCTAGCAATTTTTAACATTCCGCAGGTATACTGTAGATATGTATAAAGAAATGTTCCTGTCGCTAATAAAATAAATAATCCTACGTAGTAATATATGTACATATGCAATAACAGTAAGTAGAAATATTTCTCTTGATCGATAAAATATTCAGTCACAATATATAGATGGCGTTGATGAGATCCATTTATAGACAAGATAATGTCACGAAACCTTGGCCACAATTGTATGACTATATGAACAAATGCGTGGCTAACCAAAAGCGCTAGATAACATTGTAAATAAGTAATTAACAAATTGTAAAATGTCTTTAATAATTTGGAATTTTTAATTCTATAATTATGTCATACATATATATTAAGATAATAATATGTAAATCTTTTTCCAACTTTTCCGAAAGGAACGGATAATAATATTTTACAAATACAGTTCAATTTGTTGTTGAATGCATCAATACTATGACTATGTAACTTAATAATTTTCTAGTATATTGTAGTTGCCTGGATTTGAATGTATTAAAAATAGATAAAGTACAAGGCAAAAAATACTTAGTTTAGAAAACGTTATTTAATTAAAGTGGAAGTTTCTCATCACCTTATTGCTTGAAACATATAAATTTAAACATTAATCTAACTTTCTTAAGTAATTTTTTTAAGTCTTACTAGTAAAATTATTCAGTCGTTTTCTTTTTTCCTTCTTTCATGTTTTAAACATATAATGTATCGTGGGTCCAAACAAGAATCAAATACTTACTTATAAGTGCTGTCGTATAACGTCTTGCTTTGCTTCCGTATTTTTCTATAATAACGATTTCGTTATGATCTTTTAGATCAGCATGAACATGTTGAAGATATTCTAATAGACATTTTACCTATTGTTTTAATATGTTTTTATACTACTTATATACCTCCAATTAATTAGTAAAATTAAAAAAAATACATAAGTTTAAAATTTTATCCAAAAATTTGTTTACTATTTATTTAAATAAATACATAGACAAACTTACTGCTTTATTGTTGATGTAAAACGAAATGTATTTTATCTCTATACAAATTAAACCGAATGTAGAAGAGAAAACTTTGATGATAAGGTCAGCGTTACACTTTAAGGTTATAAATGCTGTAAACTATAAATAATAATATTCTAAAGAAATTAGAATAGCATAAATTTCTTTACATATAATTTTATATTTGGTCTACAAATTATAAATATAAAATCAGAAACGTCTATTTTTATATAAATATATCGAATAAGGATCCTCATTATTTAGTTAAATTTCTAGAATGTTATTGTCTTTCATGTTAAATCACGTATAATTTTATTGGTATTCTAATTGAGAAAATATAAATTGTGTAAATTGTTATTGAAAAAATTATAAGCATAAATCAATTTGATATATTTAATATATATATTCTGTAATGCATGTAGCAAGGAAATTAGAATATTACATAGCTCTTAGAATATTGACACACATACTTGAAATATAATACCAGTTGTAAAAATAATAAGAATACAAATATACTGAAGTTGAGTAAATTTCGATTTTTTATAAGGCCACAGACCAATTATTAACAGAAGAGTTCGAGTTAAACTAAAATGTTTATCCATAATCATTTCTCTGCTAGCTCTAAAATACTTATGACGGGGATAAAGTGGATGAAGTTCTTTTTGTGTATCCCCCTACCACCTTCGGTCGGTCAATTATACATATATATTTTTTCGCTATATTTCTTCTTCTAGTGAACTAAATTATGGAAAATAACTTAAATTGCAACACACATTAAAATTGAATATTACTAGTAATGTTACAGTTTAAGTTATTTTCCTTAATTTAGTTCAACTGTAATGCAAAGTACGGAATATTGCTGTTAGATCTATATGCTCGCAATTTAACACTATATCGTCGAGACATAGTCACCAATTCAGTAATCGATTCAATAGCCGAAAGAAATTCAACAGATGTTCTTTTCTCATAGTATATTGTTCACGAGAAAAGTCCTGCGATGTAAAAATTCGACATGCGCAGTAGTCATGTCTGAGCGACTCTTATATGCTTCCCACATGCTTCAATTCGATATGTAGGTACATTAGTACATTACATTTGATCCGTAATAGTGAGAATTCCTTGAAAGTATTATGTCGACTACACTGTGAGTTGTAAAGCAAATAATATTATGTGTGTGTATGTGTGTGTGTACATAACATATATAGTTTATATACATATATCTAACTACTCTTCTAAATTACATATGTATACATATATAAATAGTGTTTTATAAAATATAAAAAAATGCAAATTTAAATATTAAACAAAAGATTAAACAACAGTGGCAGAACTTAAAATAATATCTATTTTCATAACACAAAATATAAAAAAGAAATAAAATAAAGTTTAAATAATATATAATATAAAATTAGATTAAAATTTCTAAAAATGCTAAAATAGTACTGTAATAGTAACATAAACTAGTAATTTAGAGAAGACAAATAACATGTAAAATATAGTCATTATTGTTTTACTTTTTTTTATCATATAATTCGTAAAAATTTAAGGTAAAGGCAAATACATATTAATTACTTCTTTTCTTACGTTAAGTATCCTACTTTGTAAAAACATCATTTTCTATTTATCATTTTCGCATCCTTTATGTAACACGCAGTATTCTTATATAGAATGCTGTCTTTCGTTAACTTCTCATAATTATAATATTAATTGAGACATTATATTGTTATTATCGCATGATAGTATACATGATAGTAAAATAAGATATGGATGCATTGGTTAGCTGTAACAAATTATATTTGCTCTCATATTATTGTATTAAAATATGTCTAATTTATTATAAAACAAAATTATAGTAAGTATATTGTATATAATATTATTGGTACTGTATCATATATATAAATATTTGTATATGGAAAATATTTGTATATTGGTGTATAAAACATGATATATAAAATATTTTGTACCGTGGCAAAACATTCTATAGATGCTATGAACAATCCACCGATACACAGGCCAAAACTCTTATTGCCTCTTTGTAACAGAAATAGTATCAATCTTTGTATGTGTAAAGGAGTTGCGTACCATCGAACTTTGTATCTAAAAGTAATAACAATATAAAAAAATTACAAAAAATAAGTACATATACATGGAGTTTTTACATCATATGTATATCCTATACACCTGTACTCTATATGTATTAATATCTATTACATTATTTTTCTCTTTTATGATAGTAGTTAAATTTGTAAATGTATATAGGATATAAAGTAAATATATTACTTACGCAGTGGCAAATATGCGGTTATTGTGATCTATAATTTGTTGTCCGATAAAATTGGCCATAAACATGTATAGAAAACAGATAGAAGCAATTACAAGATTCATTAAAAATTCTTCAGAATTATATCCGAATAATACAATCTGAAAGACCTAATACACACAAATATACTACTGAGATCAACTCCTAATACAAACATGGTATAAATATTGGTAATTATACATTTTAGGGGAAGCACTTCCGATGACCTTAACCTTGACATATGTTGTCAAGGTCACTCTCCTGAGTGACCTTCAGAAGGTTTTAGCCGTCGCTCGTATTTTATTAAAAAGTTATAAACAAAAAAAGTTTCGAAAATATAGCAGTTATTTTAAGTACTGAGAGGCATAAACGACTAATATTACGTTTTTCTTTAAAGCAGAGAATACTTTATTTCGCGAGAAAGTCGCTGCTTTACCAAAACACAACATTTAGAGCAGTAAATTGTTGATAAATTGAAATTTTTTTGTTAAAGCAGAGAATACTTTATTTTGCGAAAAAGTCGCTGCTTTACCAAAACACAACATTTAAAGCAGTAAATCGTACCTAAGTAGGTTAGTGACGCGCTTTAAAAGTATTTAAGTGTTTAAAGCGCGTCAACTAACCTATATATGCACCTATATATGCTATATTTTCCAAACTTTTTTTGTTAATAACTTTTTAACGATTAGCGAGCGACGGCTAAAACCTTCTGAAGGTCACTCGGGGTCATGACCTTGACAACATATATCAAGGTCATTGAAATCGGTGAGGTCGCCAAACCTTTTTTTGTTAATAACTTTTTAATAAAAAACAAGCGACGGCTAAAAACTTCTGAAGGTCACTCAGGAGGGTGACCTTGACAACATATGTCAAGGTCAAGGTCATCGGAGGTGCTTCCCCTAAAATGTATAATTACTTACCTAAATATTTTATGGCAATTAACTATAAATTAATGTATTGACCTTTAATAATTTTATTAATGAAATATAATTTATAACTATTATATAAAATGTCTAATTTTTTTGGATATTATAATATTATTTAATAAAATCACATTTATTTTTCATGTAAATTTTAATATTGTACAGTCCTGTTACACTATTGAAATATTTTGAATAAGTTTTATATAGTAAATAGAGTTATAAGATTAATAGCAATTTTTTTCTTGTTATAATTAATATTTGGCTTAACTTTAGAAGGCTCTTTTGATTTTGATGAAATTTTATGATATATTCATACACTAAATGTAGTCGGAGTCACTAGTATAAAGTAACGGAAATATCTAGTTTTCGAGAAATTTCAATTATAATTAGATATTCGTCTTTATTTTTTTATATCAAAATCTTGAAAAACGTTAATTAAGTCGAATAATTAAAATTATAATTTCTTGGAAACAAGGCATTTCCGCAACTCTGTACTAATGGCTACACCGACTTTTAGAAAGTATTAAATACCTGTTCTTATAAAATTTCATCAAAATCAAAGTGAGGTAGCCTATTAAAGTTATCATATTCTCTTGTTATTCTTATTAAATGTAAAAAATTTTTTTAAATAATTTTAGAATCTGTATAAAAATGTTAAAGTCAAATAATTTTAAATTTAAATCACTGGATATTTCAAAAATTTAGAACATTTTTTACAATTGTCATATTAAAATTTTTAATATAAGATATTAAAATTGTTAGTAAAAGAACATTAATAAAATTATTAATATAAAGCAATATAAAGAAGTAACATTCAAATTATTAAATGTGAATTTATAAGTAAGAACAAAAACTTACTCGAAAAATATTTAGACTTAAAGTAAGCACTCCGACCGCGATTAAAAACATGAACGATATTTCAAATTTAGATCTTAGATAGTTAGAGAATCTTTAAAAACAAAAGTATGTTATTGCAAGTATTATTCATATATTATATGTAGAACATGCAAATACCAACATCATAGCTTTTCGATGAATATCCACAGCACGAATTATGCCTTTATAAACCATAATCTCGTTCTGCGTGTTAATATTCTTTGGTATATAAATCTGTATCGCTCTCTCAATACGGTAACTGTAAATATAATAATTTAATTACTAATAATTATGTAAAGGTTTATGGAAAAATAGGCAATAATTTAAAAAAAGCAACAGATTATGATATTGTTGAGTTAATATTAGTCAAAAATTTTTATACGAACATATTAAAGTTGCAATATTTGTAATATTATGTAAACCCTATTAAAAATTTTAAAATATAAACAAAAATATAAAAAAAATATGATGTACTTTATTTTATTCAAAATTGCACTTTTAACGGAAAACTAAAAAGTAATTTAACATACACTGTATTTTATAATTAAAAAATCAAGATTTTATTATTATTATTATTGCATATCAAGATTATATTATTTTAATATGTCAATTATTTAGATTTCCTATATTTAACATTCTTCTATTTACAAAGTAAAATATAATATTTGTATTAAAAAAATGTTTCTCAAATGTGAATGTTAATGGAAAACGGAACTAATTCCTAAATTCAATTTCTCGGTTATTCTTAAATTCATTATCTTACCTAGCAATTTTAAACATTCCACAGGCATGTTGAAGATATGCAATTAGCATTGTTCCTGTCGCTGTCAATACGAAACATCCTATGATCATAGCTGCATTTATATGGAAGAGCGATAAGAAGAAATATCTTTCTTGATCGATAAAATATTCAGTGGAGATCTGCAGATTACGTGATTGAGATACGTTCGCAGATAATATAATGTGTATAAAATCTGGCCATACTTGGGCACCCACAAAAATAAATAAACCAGCAACGATAATCACTAAATAACATTATAAGATGGGAATATAAAATATAGTTTTCTAACAACTTGAAAATTTTCCTTGTTATAATTATAAATATCACATCATAAAATATTTTATACACAAATCTTTTTATTTTAAACAAATAGGTGATAATCTTTATTATACAAGTTACTATGTGACTTCTTTATTGTCTTTGATGTCTTAAATTATTTTTATCTACGTATAGCAAATAAAATATTTATTATTTTAACATTTGTTGCTCATTATAAAAAATTATGAGAAGTATCATGCATTCTTATTCTACATTTTAGTGCAATGTCTATATATATGTATATTATTTTACCTCAATCATATTTCTTAAAATATAAAAACAAAGTTGAAGTTACTTTAAATACGAAAATTTTGGTGGCAAATTCTTTTATTTTTTCATCTTCGATGCATTTAAATTGAAGCGTTAAAGTGAATTTTGCATAACTCAAAACTAGATATTTCCCAAAAGTTTCAACAAGAAACACAATAACAGATTTAAAATACAAAGAGTAAAAATCCAAAGATGTCTTACTTGTAAGACCAGCTGTATAATGTTTTGCGTTACTTGCATATCTTTCTACGATAGCAATTTCGTTATTGTCTCTTAAGTCATTGTAGATATGCTGAATTTGTTCCATTAAATACTTTACCTATTCTTTCAACAAATGTTTATGCTACTTAATAAAATTTAAAAAAGTTGTTAGGTATAAAATTTTAGATATTATGATATTTATTTGAACAAATATAGTTAAAAATCAACTTACCGTTTCATCATTGACATAAAAGGAATTGTATTTTATGACAAAGCTGCTGAAAAAGAATGCAGCAGATAGAATCTTTATGATAAATTCTGCAGTACATTTTGAAGTCAACATTGTTGTAAGCTATAAGTAATAAATGTCTTTAAGAATTACCATAAAAGAGCATTATTCCTAACTTCCACATATTGCAAATCATTCTTAGCTATCACTCTATACATGAAACAATTCTAAATAATTTATATAATTGTAATAAAAATATGTAATAAAAAATAAAAATATACTGTTATTTCATATTACTGTAATTGTATCGTAATTAATACATAACAGCGCAGAACATAATTGCATTATACATATACGCGTGCACAAATGTATGCGCAATTCATACAGATTTTATTATATGAGTAGAGAATGAGAGAATAATATTATTGACTATTTATTATATACCAATTCTAAAATTTAAACTAAAATATTTTTTTTATTAAAATCCTCTATTGACACACTCTATAACTCAATTAACATTTTCAAGGATATATCATAGGTACAAATCGCTTCTATAGATGTGAGATGTCTGTAAAGATAAGACAAGTACTTATCATTAAAATTAAAATTGCTATACCTGAAACATAACGCAAGATATAAGAATACTGAAGATGCAGATTAATTGCAGTTGAACATACTTGGATTTTTCATACGGCCACAAACCAACTATCAGCAAAAGAATTCGGTTAAGACTGAAGTATTTATCCACAACATTGATCATCTCTCTGCAAACACTGAAATAGGTATGACGGAGATGTAATGGACGAAGATTCGCTTATCCCTACCACATTCGGTTTTGTGGCACAAATATTCTCTTTTCTAGCATCAATTTTAATGTTTTACAATTTAAGCTATTTTCCGTAATTTAGTGAAATGGCTAAAAAAAAAAAAAAAAAAAAAAAAAAATACAATACGTAGAATATCGCTCTTACATCGGCATACAATTGCAATTTAACTATATCTTCGCAACGCGTTCGCGAATTAAGTAATCGATTCAACAGCCGAAAGAAATTCAACAGATGTTTCTTTCTCATAGAATGTCATTCATGAGAAAAGTTCTGCTGTAAAAGTTGTGCATGCGCATTAGTTATATTTCAAAGGTTTTTATCCACGCATGCTTCATTTATCGTTATGTATACTCATATGTATATATAGTTTATGAAAAAGAAAATTCTTCAAAAATATCTCGTTGATTAAATGACTACACCATTACAAATAGTAATGCACATGTATGTAATATTGTTTTCAATATGTAACATATAATTTTGCCTTATACACTTTTCTGTTTCTTTGTACCGGTTATTTGTTAAAAAAAGTTGAAAATTAAAAAAATTTTAATACCTTTATATTATAAATGCATAAATATAAAAATTGATTGATATTTGATACAAATATCGATCATTATTATAATATTGTGTTGGTCGAGTTAATGCTCCCTGTGATGCTTTTTTTCTACTTTAACGTTCTATAATGTATGTTAATTTCATAATTTAACTTAATTGCAACTGCACAAAATACCAGTAAGATCAAAATATTTGTAACTTAATACTTTTGTAGGAAAGAAATCGCCGATTAAATAATCGATTCTACGTTGAAAGAAAAAGAAAGGAAATTCAACAGATGTTTTCTGTTCGTGGAATATCATTTGTGACAGAAGTCATAAAGTGAAAGTTATGCAAACATGTTATGCACTTTTCAGCAGTACTGAAAGTAAGTATATGTTTCGTTTCAATATGTATGCACATGTCACATATGGTCTGCCGAGGTAAAAATGTTTTCAAAGTATCACACCTACTAAACAATAGTAAAATTATATAACATTATTTTTAATTGTATAATTTATATATATATATATATATATAAATTTATATATAAATATATGTAAATTTTATATATATATATATATATATATATATATATATATATGGTATATATGTCCTATTTTTTACACAGATAATTCTTATGTTATTCTTGCTAAATTAAATACCATTTTATAAAATATAGAAAATTATAAATTTTAATATTAAACAAAGAATTAAGAAATAGTGGCCGTATTTAGAATAATATCAATTCTCAGGAAAGAATGCTTAAAAATAAAGTAATCAAATCATATATGCAGTTAGATTACATTAAAGTTTTGAAAGTGTTTACGTAGTATATTAAATATATAAAGAAGGACAATAAATGTAAAATTATAAGTTTATTGCGTCATTTATTTTATTTATATCTTATTATGTGTAAATATAAAGTGCGATGCAAATATTATACAGGATATTTCCTAAATAAGTACAAAAAACTTGAAGGGGATATTCCATGACTTATTTTAAAAAGAAATGGTCATAAATCATATTAAGTTTTTTAATGAGAAAATGATACTACCACTGTTTTTTCCAAGTTCAACAATTTTTTTTAACTTTCCGAACTAAAACTTCACAAAAACTGCCTCTTACTTTTTTGAAACAATGTGCCACTTTTGAGATAAGGTAAAAAAATAAAATTGAAAATTATAAATACAATCGTGTGTATCACTGGTCAATATCGGTACTCGTATATGATTCTTAATACATGTACGCATACCAAATTTGAATAAAATATCTTCAAACGTTTCCCAGATTTTAGAAATTTTAATATTTTTTTCACTACTTTGACCTGTATTATAAAAAAGAACCAGTTTAGGGCATATGTTTGTAGAACCTTTTTGTCTTAAAATAAGCCGTGGAATATCTCCTTAAATTTTTTTATTCTTATATTTAGCCTGTATATATATATATTACTTAAAACTTCTTACTCTTTCTCTCTCTCGTACATTAATTGTAAACGTTATTATAAAATCTTTCTCTTTTGGCTCCTATTTGTTCTTCTTTCATGTTACGTATTGTATTCATTTTTTTTACACATAAGATATATTGCACGCTTTTGTCAACTTTCTACTGTTATAATATTAATTGTTATACTATCGCATTGAATACATGAGAGCAGAGTAAGATACGGCTGCATTGGTTAGCTGTAAAATATTATGTTTGCTTTCATATAATCGTATCAAAATATGTTCAATTTATTATAACACAAAGTTATTGTATATTGTATATAATATTATTGGTACTATATATTATATATGAAATATTTGTACATGGTAAATATTAGTAGGTATATAAAACGTATATAAAATATGTTTTACCGTTGCAAAACATTCTATAGATGCTATGAACAATCCACCAACACACAGGCCAAAACTCTTATTGCCTCTTTGCAACAGAAGTAGTATTAATCTTTGTATGTGTAAAGGAGTTACGTACCACCGGACTTTGTATCTAAAAACAATAATAATATTAGAAATTTAAGAAAATCAAGTATATATACATGAAGTCTCTACATCATAATTATATCTTCATTAATATCTATACTGCATTATATGATGGTATTTCTTTTATGATGTTAATTAAATTTTAAATGTATACAAAGTAGATACATTACTTACGCAGTGGCAAATACGTGGTTATTATGATCTATAATTTGTTGTCCAATGAAATTGGCCAAAAACATATATATAAAACACATAAGTGCAATTACAAGATTAACCAGAAATTCTTCAGAATTATATCCGAATAATACAATCTGAAAGACCTAATACACACGAATATACTACTGAGATCAACTCCTAACAGAAACATATGTAGTTTGCTACAGAATTTGGTGTAGGATTTATTGACTATAAATTAATGTATTAAATTCTTTAATACTTTTATAAATAAAGATTATAAATGTCAATCATAAGTATTGTATAATATTGTTAGAGGAAGATAATAAATAAGATTTATTGTTAACATAAAACGGTATAAAGAAATGGCATGCATATTATTAAAAGCTTATAGATAAGAACAGAAACTTACTCGAAAACTATTTAGGCTTAAAGCGAGCACTCCGACAGCGATTAAGGACATAAATGATATTTCAAATTTAGATATTAGATAGCTAGAGAATCTTTAAAAACAAAAATGAATTATTGCAAGAATTATTCATATATTATAGAATATATTATGTAGTAAATACCAACATCATAGCTTTTCGATGAATATCTACAGCATGAATTATGCCTTTATAAGCCAGAATCTCGTTCTGCACCTTAATATTATTTGATATACAAATTTGTATTGCTCTCTCAATACGATAACTGTAAATAATATAATTAACTATTAATAATTATATAAAGTTTTATACAAAAATAAGCATTATTTCAACAAAATAACAAATCTTGATTTTGTTGAGTCAGTATTAGCCCAAAATATTCATATGAACGTTTACGATAAAATTGCAACACTCGTAATATCATTAAACTCTTTTAAAATTTTTGACACAGAGATATAAATTAAATATGATATTTTTTTACTTTTATTTATTCTTTCTACTTTATTTCGTTTGATTTAAAATTCCACTTTCAAGTAAAATTAAAAAGTAATTTTACGTACACTGTACTTTATATTAACAAATCATACATATCAAGAATTTATTATTTTACTAAATGTATTAAAATAATAAATGTATTAATATTTTAATATGTCAATTATTGAGCATTCTCATATATCTTGCAAAGTGAGACATAATATTTGTATTTAAAAAAATGTTTCTCAAGTGTGAATGTTAATAGGAAACGGAACTAATTCTTAATTTAAATATGCCAGTTATTCTTAAGTTTATTATTTTACCTAGCAATTTCAAACATTCCGCAGGCATGTTGAAGATATGCAATCAGCATTGAACCTGTTGATATCACTACGAAACATCCTATCACCATAGTTGCATTTATATGAAAAAGCGGTAAGTAGAAATATTTTTTTTGATCGACAAAATATTCCATGGTAATTGGCGAATGATGTGATCGAGATGTGTTTGCAGGTAATATAATATATGTAAAGTTTGGCCATAATTGGATACTCACGAAAATAAATAAACCAAATAGAAAAACCACTAAAAAAGCATCCTACCATGATAAAATAGTAATATATAATATATAATATAATATATGTAATATATAATGTAATTTTTTGCTGTTTAAAATTTGGATAATATCGCATCATAAAATGTTTCATACGTAAATATCTGTACTGCATATAAAAATATAATAATTTCTGTTATACAAGTTACTCTCTCCATTTTGTCTCTTATTGTCATCAATGTCTTAAATTATATTTATCTATATATACTTAATAAGTATAAGATTTATTATTTTAATATCATGTCTGTTGCTCATCATAAAAAATTATAAAGTGTATCGTGCACTGTTATTTCACATTTCAGTACAATGCCTATATATATATATATATTATTTCACCTCTCAGTCATATTTCTTATAACATTAGACTTAGAACGAAATACAAACTGTACAAAGTTAAAGTTACTTTATATGCATATTATATATACACAGTAATTAATATTGAGCTACAAAAAGATCTAAGCTCGGACCGAATGTGGCGTGTTATTTGTATTTAAAGTTATTTTTAATTACAAGAGCTTTTGAAGAAGAATTTCCTTATTTCTTCATCTTTGATACATTTAAATCCAAACATTAATGTAACTTTTTGCATTACTTAAAACTATATATCTTAATAAAAGTTTCAACAGGAGGTTTGAATAATAACCAGATAGCAGGTTTGAAATACAAGAAAAAATAGAAATCCGAAGATGTCTTACTTGTAAGACCAGTTGTATAATGTTTCGCGATACTTCCATATTTTTCTACGATAGCAATTTCGTTATTGTCTCTTAAATCGTTATAGATATGCTGAACTTGTTCCATTAAAAACTTTACCTATTCTTTCAATAAACGTTTATGCCACTTATTTTAATAAAATTTCAAAAGAGTTGTTAGATATTAAATTTTAGATATTATAATATTTATTTGAACAAATATAGTAGATAATTAACTTACCGTTTTACTATTAACATAAAAAGCATTATATTTTATGACTAGGCCACTGGAACCGATAGAGGGAGATAAAATCTTTATGATGAATTCTGCAGTACATTTTGAAGTTAACATTGTTGTGAGCTATAAATAATAAATTTCTTTAAGAAATTAGAAATTAAAAATTCGAATAAAAGAGCATTCTTATTTTTAACTTCCACACACACATATTACAAGATATTTTTAGTTATTATTTTATATATAAAACAATTCTTAATAAAATATTTATAATTTTTTAATATTATTATAGTTGTAATTGACATTTAATACACTGGAACGTAATTGTATTATGTACACAAGTGCATAAATGTATATGTGCATTCACACAGATTTTCTTATATGAATAGAGAATAAGAGAATAATATTATTGACTATTTATTATATACCACTTTTAAAATTTAAACTAAAATATTTTTTTTGTTAAAATCCTCTATTGACTCTATAACTCAATTAACATTTTCAAGGATATATCATAGGTACAAATTGCTTCTATAGATGTGAGATGTGTGTCCAAGATAACACATGTAAGTATCATTAAAATTAAAATTGCTATACCTGAAATATAATGCCAGATATAAGTATACTATAGACGCAGATTAATTGCAGTTGAACATATTTGGATTTTTCATACGGCCACAAACCAACTGTCAACAAAAGAATTCGGTTAAGACTGAAGTATTTATCTACAACATTGATCATCTCTCTGCTAGCACTAAAATAGTTATGACGGGGATGTAATGGATGAAGATCCGCTTATCCCTACCACATTCAGTTTACCCATTAAATATTCTCTCTTCTAGCATCAATTTTAATGTTTTACAATTTAAGCTATTTTCCGTAATTTACCCTAAAGGCTTAAAAAAATTCAGTACGTAGAATATCGCTCTTACATCGACACGCAATTGCAATTTAATATTTATATCTTCGCGATGAACTCGGCATTTGAGTAATCGATTCAAGAACCGAAAGAAATTCAACAGATGTTTCTTTCTCATAGAACATTCATAAGGAAAATTCTGCTGTAAAGTTTCTGCCAGCGCACTAGTCGTATTTCGGCGATTCTTATCCACGTGCTTCATTATGTATGTCAGTATACATATATGAAGAGACACGGCAGTGTCTCACGCAGTGCGACACTGTATGCGCTCCCGACAAAGGCAACAGGACAGAAAATGTATCTACATCCGAATCACGTCGAATTAAACGGAGGTACGACTGTCATATCTAAAAAACGGCTAAGCAGATGAAATTTTTAATAAGTTTAATCGATTGCTTGGCGTCATACTATGTAATAAAAGTGTCTTTATTTTTCTCTACATTATATATAATATTAGGAGAGATTTTTTAAATACATGTATATGGTAAAGTCGATATGTGGTAATTTATATTCAAACGTTATCATATATAATTCATGACAGAGAAAATTCTCCAAAAATATCTCGTGTACTACACAACTGCGAATTATAATCCACACATAATATTATTGTTGATACATGTATATAACACATAATTTTTGCCATTTTTCTATTTTGTGTACTTTTCCCTTATAACTTTCCTTTTTTGCATATATTAACGTTTTATAATTTAATTTAATTCTAATTGATTTAGCTTAATTGTAACGGCGCGAAATAACAGTGAAATCAAAATATTTGTAATTTAACATTTTTGCGAGAAAGTATTTGCCGCTTAAATAATCGATTCAACGTCGGAAGAAAAAGAAAGGAAATTCAACAGATGTTTTCTGTTCATGGAATATCATTCGCGAGACAAGTCACAAAGTGAAAGTTTTGCAAACATATTATGCGCTTTTCAGCTGTGCTTGCCCATATGTTTCGTTTCAATATGCACATGTCGTATATAGTCTGCCGCGATAAAAATGTTTTAAAAATATCATACATACAGTAATATAATTATGTAACATTATTTTACACAGTATAATTTACGTTCCTATTTTTTTACGTGATTTTTACTAAATTAAATAAAATTTTATAAAACGAAATTGTACGTCTCTTTTGATCTAATTTTATTAATATTTTTTAGATGTAACATTACAATGGGTCGTCTTGTATAAATTATTGTTCATGAGAAAATTGTTCTCATATTTGTTACATGGGAAAATTTTTCGGATTTTCTTTATTAATTATATATATATACGCAGGTACAAAATATAATCTACCAGAAAAATTAAGCCAATTTTTATTTGGAAACAAGAAGAAAACTGCGTTATATAGTATTTATATATGATATAAAATTAAGGTATAGATAAATAATAAGTCTTTATTAAAATTAAATTTGAAGGTATATCGAGAGAGAACATCAGTATAGGATCACAGCTTAATACAGCTCATTTTATAATTAGCTGTATTAATATTACGATAAATGAATTTTAACTTCCGGGACATCGCAAATAAAATACATATTGCAGAGAGGATATATATTATAGTTTATAGTTTTGTTTAAAGGATGAAGATAAATATTAACTAATTTTCTTTTGTGAGTAAAGAATTATAGGCGCTTCATGGCTCATTTGCACTTGACGTGTCATTTTTTGCTGTGCTCGAGGTTTCGCTTTCGGTATTCTTGCTATTCTCAGCGGATGATGATTCAGGTACCTACGAGAGAAATTAAAATATTAAACAACATATAAATCAATGATAATCTATATATAAAATTATCATGTGCTTTTACCTGACGAGGTAGATTAGGCAGGGTAGATGGCAGCCTACAGTTGGGTAAAACATCTGGCATGGGCGGAGGGACCGGTGGTTCACCGTAAGCTTCATGAAGCTCCTCCAGTCTTATGCAGAGAGCGGTACCACGTTTGCTCGTAGCGTTCATTTTTTTCATAAGCCAATCGGCCTGCTCCTCCAAACGTTTTAATCGATCGGCACGTGTCGCTAAAACTTCCTCAGGAGTTTGGGATTTAGTCGATGTGATTTCTGTTTGCGAGTTTGTCGCGCTTTCCCGCAACTCGTCTCTAGATGTCGATCTAATCGAAGGCGTAGGACTGACGTCGGCCGTAGGAAATTCTCGAACCGTGTCCAAACTCGAAGAGGAATCCACGGAGATATTGTCGGAATCTGCGACGTTATCTACTGGTTTGGAAGATCGTTGATCCCTACCTTCTATCGACTCCTCTTCGTGACTTGATGACACTGTAGTCGAGCAGGTGGTACAGTTATCCGTAAAATTGTCCACTTCTGTCGCGGCTGCGCCGAACACTGGAGTAAGAAAACGATTAGACGGACCTACGATCAAGGGATTGCTGAACTGCACGCTTTTTGACGAGGGTAATAATGCAGTAGATGCAGGAAGAGGTCCGATGGAAAAGACAGACATCGTGCCGATTGTATTCACAACAGTAGCGATGGGTGCAGAAACGGGCGATGATGAAACACTTTCGGATTTTATTTTCTCACCGTCATCGTGGTGCAGCTCTGACAAATTTCTGATCACGGTTGACGATGATTCGGGCAATTCACCATTATCTACCGCCGAAGATAGGTCAATACTCGTAGCTGTTCGTTTCAGTGTCTTCACAGTGGGTGACGAACACTGAGATTCAGTAGCCGGTGTCCAAGATTGCGGATTTCTGTCGCAGCAATCCGTTTCGGAAGTAGTCATTCGATCAGTTTTTGTATCGTTGGTTTCAGGAATTAGATTGTCGCACGAATCTTTGAAGGGTGTCGTTATTCTCTCCCGTGAAGTCGAAACATTCTCGTCTGATTCTCTATCGTCAATTTTTATAAGATCTTGTATAACATTGGTGAGAGCTTGATCCAAAGGATCCAGAATCTCTTGCGTATCTTCCACAATGCGCTGTTCAAAATTATATCGATTAGTCATCGATAAAATATTCTAAATACGATTTCCTGCAATTTCGCTTACATCAACTTCCGTCGCGTTAATAAGTTCTGAATCAATATGTGTGATTTCTGCCTCGTCCAATTCCGCCTCGGTCTCCGGAGTCGGCGTGCGTTGTTCTAAAGTCACCGAGGAACCAGTCTTCGACTCTGATAGTTCAGTATCTGTCGGCTGTTCGGATTCTGTGTCCGGTGTCGGTGCTCTAGGACTCTCCTATATTAGTTCAAGACACATTTTTTTTTTAAAATAAAAATTACAAAAATTTGTAGAAATAATTAGTAAAAACCTTTCGTGTCCGTCGGCGAGGACCATGTCTGATTCGTCCCTCATTCGCTTCTTCTTCGTCGGTGTCATCACCTCTCTCGTCGCTGAAGCCGCTTTCAGCGCTACATGGAATAATTGAAATATGAATCGGCAATTGCAGAACAATTTTCGTATAATAATCAATAAAACATAGTTCTAAAAATCTCTAATACTGTAATACAAGCAATAGAAACATTAAGATATCTTAAATAATTTTAACACAATCTAATTGTAATCTGTTGGGGGAAAAACAAACAAACTAGATTTAATACTCGTGGTTTCTAATAACCAATCATAAAATTCGTAAATATTAATAAAAATAAAAATAATATTATTTTTATAAAGTCTACTTCCAAAAAAATAAAACTTAAGTTTGTAATATTTTCAATTCTCATTATTTAGAGATATATCAGTATTGAGTTAAAACACAGTGACATTTATAATAAAATCGTGAATAAGAAACCTATTGAAAGAATCATGGGCAGCTAAAGCTTTCCGTGCAGCAAACTCGCGACGCAAGTTTCTCCATTCCCGTTCGGTATTCGTGTTCTTTTGTCTAGCCGATTCCCACTTCTCTCTGCAGTATTCCAACTCCTGCTTCAATTCCTGCAACATTTTCCTCTTCTCTTGCAGTTCGTATCTTAATATCTCCTCGTGTGTGTGCAACTGCTGATGCTGCGCCTGCATCCGGCCGACGATATTCCATGTTTTCGCCAACTCGACCGACACCATAGAGAGTCTCTTCTCCTAGATATTGAAACAAATAATGATAAATTTCTATTGTATCATTTATACGTGAATGCTTAGAAGACCATTTACCTGTTCGCCCAGTTTACTTTCCAAATGAGTGTTCAACTGCTTCATGCGATTCATCTCCTTTTCCAAATGCTTCTTCTCGAGAATCAGTTCCTTCAAACGAATATAAGTTTTGCTGACGGATATTACCAATGTTGGGCCGGCCGGAGTATCCACAGACTTGTAACAGCTGTTCGGATCCGAACAGGACGCAACGGAAACGCTCGGAGAGGTCACCGCGTGACAACTAAGTAGTTCCAATAAAACGCGCCACACCTACAACGTAATTTCACAATTACTTTAACGATGTTGACTTGTGTATTAAAACGAGAGCACATAATCGTATAATTGTCAGTATTACTGTGACGTACATTTAAATTAACATTCAAAAATGCATGAATTATATTACCGGAATTAATATATGTATATATTCTTTTTTATGGATATTGACCTTAGGTAAATTATGGGCGATATCTTCTTCTTGCAGATCATCTTCCTTCCTGTCAACTTCGCCGACATTTTCTACACTACTCTCTTCACTCGTGTGTTTCTGGGATGCTTTACCGCCTTCGACTTGTTCAATCAAATCCAAAAGAAGTTTAGGAAGAGCCGCTGCTTCGGTACTTTCTTCCCTGGCTATGTCACTTATAAGATCGTGATTCTCCTGCAGCGTTAAAATCAAATTAATTATTATTTTCGTTCTTTTTACTTATATATTTTCTTTTATAAAACTTGTAACTTTTTTATAAATGTTAAAATATTAATTATTTTTAGTGATAAACTATAAATATGTATATAATGAATCAACAATACGATACCTGTAGCAACTGAGTCAAACGATCAAGGTCCATGTCCGCAGAAGAAGCTCCGAGCAGCATCTGCGTGAATAATCCATTAATAAGAGACATTTGATTCTGCAGATCTCTGCAATCCGCCTTGGTTAATCCCAATTGCGATTCCAAGTTTGTTATTTCTGAGTCCTGAGCGTCGACCTGGCGTGCGTAACATAAAATAAGAATCTCAAACTTCAACAATCATAAAAAAAAAATAAAAAAATAAAATAAAATCGAACGGTAACACTTCGATACCTTTTCTTCAGCTTTTTTAAGCTCCTCCTCCAAGTTTTCCGATTTCTTCAAAGTGTATTCCAGTTTCTGTTTCACATCCGTCAGCTCCTTGGTCGCGGAATCTTTCAACTCGGACAAGATTCTCAGCCTCTCGTTGTAGAGGCTTTTCAGCGCGTTTATATTCTCCAGCTGTCGGTCGCATTCGACTCCCACGTCATCTTGGACTTCCAGGAAACTTCTGTCGCCCAATCTGACCAACAGTTGAGCCAGATAATTCTTCAGCTCATTGGTCTGACGTTCTCGTGCAATGAGAGACACGCGTGCCTTGCTGGTCACTTCCGTCAAGCAGCGAATGCGTTGTCGGTGACGCTCTGGATCGGACTCCAGGTGGTAACGAAGGTCGTCCACCTTCTCAATTTGGTATCGCACGTCATTCCTCAACTCATCGGACACCTGAAACAAGCCTGTATCTGCGTACTCATTCACGGATTTCGATTGCAAATAAAAATGTATGACAAACAATACCTTTAGGGTGCGCGTCAATCGTTGCGCTTCCACGCGTTTCAACGCTTTCTCGTTTTCATCTGCGTGCTTGTGCTCCTCTCGTTCTTTCATCGTAGCCTTCGCAAAATCGCGATTCGCAAGATCAAGATCTTGCGGATTGCTATGAGCGGAACGTAATTGAGCCAACATGCTCGACGTTTCGGAATGAGCTTCCTTCTCAGCGTCCAATTCTCTTCTAAGTCTTTCCATCTCGGACGAGACCGCCGCGATGGCTCTATGTCTAGCTTCCCTCTTCATGGTTAGTTCTTTTCTAAATTCGTCCATACTGGCAGAGGCACAATTTGGATTCGAAGCACTTTCCGGTATGTCGTCTATTGAATCTATAGCATAAACGCTCGATTTTATTTTGTGAGTTAAAACACGATTCACTTATACAATGTTATTCTATTAGAATAGTATAATGGAATCTTTTATATAAACAATATAAAATATACCAATATCATCTCTCGAAACAACATCGTCCTCGTTCCTTCTGTCAGTCTTCATAGTCTCCTTCAGTCTTTGAATCTCCTGCGTAGCGTCTTTAAGAGCTTTAATCTGCTTTATTTTGTCCGAGACTTCTTCGGACAATTGTGCCCGCAATTCTGATATCTCTTGGCTTTCCGCGTTCTTAATCCGTTCAGTCTCGAGCAATGATTTTTGCAAATTTTGTTCCAAAATTGAAATTTTCGCGTCGGCAGTGTCTTTTTCCGACTGAAAGATATCAACCTCTTTCAGCAATCTTTCGACCTCTTTCTTAGCGCAATCCAAGTGTTTCGTCAGTTCGTCGTATTGTTGTTTGCGTTCATGCAAATTAGCTTCTACCGTTGCATATCGCGTTCTCAGTTCCTAAATAAAAAAAGACAATGTTTATTATAGAATGTTTTAATGTACGTTGGCGCTAAACTGATCGCAACGAGAGATTATGCAAATGACCAAGACTCTTGATTTCTTCCTGCAAGCCCTATAATCTGAAGAATCTGAAGGTTTAGAATATTATACCATACCTCAAAATCTACGCCTAATTTTTCCGCTAAATTTTTCTGATCCGTCAGACTGCGCAGCAGTCTTTCGTTCGCGCTTTGAAATTCCAGTCGATCCGCTTTCAATCTTTCAATTTCTTCCGACAATTTGAATATTTCTCCGCTCCCTGAATTTTTCATCGAATCTTGTTCGTCATCTCTCAACCTTGCGCGTCTTCTGCGCACTTTATCTAAATCTACATTCACGGAACACGAGTTTTCGTCTAATCTAGGAATATTCGTCTCGGAATTATCGGAATGAGCACTACAGCATATTTGACCATTCGTTTCCTTCCTGATCGTGCCACAATCATCAGGTACTTCACTAATACCATCAATCACGAAGTGATTCGTTCGTCGCTCCGTCAATTCCGCGGATCTCGAACAGAAATTCTCGTTCTTCGTATCTCGCGTCTTCAGAGAATTCTCCGACGTTTCCGTTCTGGAGCATAATTTGCTGTCTTCTTGCAAGCCTCGTTGTTTGTACTGTTCAAAATTGCACGCTGCCAGCAATTTTTCTAGTTTAACGACACGCTGCTCCAGTCTTCGTATTTCTTCCATTTGTCCGTCTTTATCCTGCAGTCTTTTCAGAGGAACATCCTCGCATATTTCCCGATTCTCCGTCGAAATCATCTGCTTCCGATTTTCTCTATCCTTCGACAACTCCAAATATAACGCTTCCATACGCGCTAGCGCTGCACTATGCGCATTAGCTAATTGATGATTGGCCATAGCCAGCTGCGAGATGATTCGCGAAAGCTCGACGATTTCATTATTCTGTTGACACATTAGGGGATCGTGACTATCGGCAGACTGCCAGCCTGTCATTTTCGTGGCGCACGTTAACTGCAAACGTAAATAAGCGGACTGTAATTTCGGATCCTAGTTCGTTAAAAACTTAAGACGCAATCTTTAATTGTACCGAAATGTCCCTTTTTTTTACGAAACTTGATTGATATCGATCAAGATATGAACAATGCCAATTTTAAAAATTTATCTTGTGAAATTTAACATGTGTGACAAACGATGAATCACGCGATTTCAAACAAAGAAGATAAAGGAAACAAAGACATTTTCTCCTTTTTCTTTTGCAAAACGTTAATACGCGATTAAAAAGTGCCTCGCGCAAATTTACAGTTTTCGAAAGAAAAATTTCACCGGCTTTCGAGAGATAATGATCCGCCCTCGACGATTCGCAATAGTACACTGGGATAGAACGCAACGTTGCCGCAAACCGACCAAGAATAAGCACGTGATCGCGACCGATGACTGTAGAGACGACTTTTCGTGACTGTGAGTCAATGTGTTCTCTGAAAACACGAATTGGAGAGAAGCCAACTTCTTGGCCAACAGAAGAACCGGCTTCCGCGGAATAAAACAGCGTGATTTTGTCCAGAAAATCGCAGGTGCAACTCGACGATGGCAATGCCCGAGTTTAATTTAGCTACACCCATACAAGCAGACAGTGGAGATGAATATCGGTAGCATATAAGTTTCGCTATCGCTCGCGGAAAAGTGTACTCGCCAAGTTCGTTGTTTGTCGGTGAAAATGACATGCAACAATGAACTAAGAATTTAATATAACAAAGCAAAAAAGAGAACAGAAGAACAAACAACGATTTACCAGAGTCTCATGTTTGGGAGGCAGCATACTCGATAGGCTGGGTGCCGTTGGCCTCTGATCCCAGAATTCGCCAGTCCTCAAGGTCGCGTAGGGGCTCGGACCCTGTGCGGTCCGATAATAAATTCAAAATTTCTGTCTCTCTCTCTCTCTCTCTCTTCAAATACATATTTGGTTAGCGACGTACTTGCAACTGTGGGTGATCCTCCCTCTTATAGATACTCGTTCCGACATACGTTCTTTGTCTTCGGTCGTTCGTGGGGCAATCTTCCGGATGCGAAGGTATTTCTGCCTCATGTTCGCTCGCAGAGATCAAAGCCGGCGGACCACTACTGCTACTTGAGACTCCCATTATTTAAATTTTTCACTTACCGGAGTGAAAAGTATATAAATTTTTCGATTATTTTCCCTGTAAAAAATTTTGCTGAATATCTAATTCGGTAGCATAATGTTCCTTATTTTGCCTAAAGTAATGATGAGATAGATAATTTTTCCTAATGTAAATAATATAAATACGGAAATACATACAATCTTGCCTTCAAATTTGATTTTGAACTCTGAACTTGTAATTTAACATATCAAGATGTTTCTAAACTGTCAAAATTGCATACTTATCAATTCGTAGATGTATAGTTACCGAAAGAAGAAGTTTGGATTGTGCAAGCTTTTATTTTTAGAACCTAGTTCGATCTAGATTGTATCCCGACTCTCACTTTAAAAACTAAGTAGGATAAAAAACCTAGATTAGCAGGGTAAAAATAGAAACACATTCGATTTAGCGCTTTTAATTACAACGCGAAAATAACAAATAACCGTTTAATAGAAGCAAGTGCAACATATTGTAGCTTAATACGCTCATACATATCACGGAAAGATATGCGTAGACTTTAATATAGGTATTAAAAAAAACAAACTAATAGATGTTATCATGTATAACAGCGAAGATTGGGCATTCCGTTTTCAGGGTGGCAGCCGTACAAGCGAGAGTTTTCAGATACAGCGATTCAAAATCCAAGTAAAAGTCGCTCACCAATAGTCAATCGTGAAATTTGTTCGTGGCTTCGATTTCTCCAAGGGTCAACGACGAGTCTGTCTGACTACTGTCGTCGTTGCTAGCGGGCACCGACTCGCATCTCTAAAAATACCATTTCGAAAGACCGCCTGCGCAAAGCCGACGATATACGTCTTCGCATCGAATTCGTGCGCAGAAGCGTTGCTTTAGACTTCCGCGCGTATTTTACATCCTAGGAAGCCATCCATTAATCACGAGAAAACAAATCCAAGTCAAGAGAGATTTTCCGATGGCAATTGCGTTTTATATCTTTATAAGGGGATGATATTTTACGTAACAAGCACCAAAGAACTTCAGTCTTTTATTCTAACAAAATATGGAAAATATTTAAAAAATAATTCAAGGCCTAAAACGTAAATAATGCTCGACAAATTGAATAAAAATATATAATTAATATGAATGAGAAATTAATTTTGTTATTTGTTCTCAGTAATAAAATGCAAGAGAGTAATTCGTTGAATTACCAGCGTTATAAATTCTTATTATTTATTTCACGTTGCTTGAGAAAGACGTTTCAAACTATTATTAACCGGTTATTGCGATAAATACCACATGCCTCAGTGGTCGAATTGGTACGACAATCTTCACGGAATGAAGGAAGTTCCAGGTTCGAATCCTGGCTGAGGTAATATTTTTCGCAATAAATTCTTTACACTTTTCGATTTAATTGTGGGGAAAGAAGGGTTTTTTAATTTTTCAACGATAACTGTGTTTCAAGTCCGGCTGTGATCGGCGCGCAGTAAAAAGTTGGAATATCAATGTATTACGCAAAAATTAATATTGAGCTGCCTAAGATCTAAGCTTGGACCGAAAACGGCTTGTATCTTATTCGATTGTGTTATAAATTCTACTTTGAGATACAGCACTCACAGTTAATAGAATAAACAACTATTTTAAGGTGCTTTCAAGTCTTCAGACAGTAGATGCACTCGGGAAAACGTAAACGTCCTAACAATAGCCTCGCACGTATTCTATATTTAGGTAGTTTTTCGAACTGTTCGTCATCGCTATCGCAGCACTCATTTTAAAAGAAAAATCGACTTATTCTCCTCCATTTTTCATTTACAACATTGCGTTGTACTCAACGTAATAATTAAAAGCGCTCAATCAAATATATTTTTAATTTAATTTTATTTTTTCTATTCTTCGTACTTCATCTTTAAAGAGAATCGAATTACGATTTAAATCAATCTAGTTTCCAAAAATAAAATCTGACACAGCTCCTTTTTCTTGTAGGAACTCTACATTTATATATTGATATGTATTCAATTTTAACAGTTTAAAATATATCAAATGTAAGTTGCATTCAATATTGACATATCGAGGAAATAATGGGAACAATTTTAATTTTTATAACAAAATAAATTTTAGTCTTTTCTCTATTTCTCATTTTTCAAACAGATCTTTTTTTAAAGATCAGAAATAAAATCTAGGCGAAATAATAAATATAGCATAAAGTAATTGGTGTGAGTAATATGCAAGGAAGCATTACATTTATTTAAAACAACGAAGGTGAATGCGGAAATAAATGGCCTCGCTAACAAATGATCAACAGCAGGTAAAGTAATGCTCCATAACATCTGTCGGACTTGGACACGTCGTATACTCGTAGATAAAAGCTATACCTTTCACATATTTTGTGATTAAATTCTGTCGAGAGAAGTTTCGCTGAAACATTTGGTATTTTATCGGTAAATTACGGACTTCATCGCGGAGTTACCGAAAAGCGAAGGTGTATCTAGATAACGCATTGTAAAGAGATCGTTACAAACGTTGTCCCGACATCTCCTTTCGTTCTTCCCGACGTACATCTCGGGTCACGAATAAAAAACAAAATAAATGAAAATTTATTAAAGAATTCATAGCCTCGTACGTTTTAATAATAAATTCCGTATACGACAGGGCGTGCGGTTTTCGCGAATAATTTCAGTCGCGAGTCATACATGCATTCGCTATATATATCATTTCGCATCCGAAGCTGAGCACCTCCATGATTATAACGTGTGGCGCTTATAGAGTGTTGCATTACAGGTGTAATCCAAGCGCCTTGTTGTGACACACTTTTCTTATCCTGTAATATTCCTGAAACATTTATAATGTCTAGATACCTCGCGTTCGACCCGGCGGAATTACTTAACTCCAAGTGCGAACGCATACACACATTACACCACGACATATGCCGCCGCTCTGCTCCGATATGTGGAGGAGCACACGCTCGCGCGTGCGCTCGCGCGCGCACGCTCCGGTGCCGCACTGCCGCCAGCCGTGTACCGATCGGCTTGGCCTGACAAGGCCGTCGCGGCGCGCGTCCGTCAGTCAGCGTTCGCGCACGAATGCGACGGTACGGTCGTCGGTCATCGTGGCGGGTTTTTACTCGGCGCCGCGCTCACGGGAGCTCCAGCTCGGGAGAGCAGAGCTGACGTTTCTACGTGAAGCGGGAAGAGAAAGTGGTTCACCCGCACCTCCATCTCTCTTCCTCTCCTTCTCTCTTTCTCTCTTTCCTTTCTTTCGCACACTTTCTCCCCCGCGGCCTTTTTCTTTCTCCTCCCGCGTTTTCGCCAGTTCACCGAAGGCGTTCCGCCGGGCATCCGTGCAACCGCTGGGGCTGTGACCTGCTTCCTCACTCCGTTCCTCGCAGCGGTCCGACTGGCGGACGTGCACCCGCAGGTGAGAGGTGCGAGGCGGAGATTCCGCGCCGCGTCGACGGATGCGGAGGACCCTTATTATCCGTCTCGGTGCGACACGACGATTTTTGGCGGGTATATGACCCGTTACATTGCGACGCAACAGTCTCGGGGAAACGGATGGGTGTCCGAGTCAGATCCGGAGTCTCGACGCAGTCAAACGTCCGAGAACGGGTCTTCCGGTCCGCGACGTGGTCGCGTGTTTAACCATCCGGCGCGGCGCGGCGCGAGGATGGCCATTTCCAGTCGCACGTTACACGCCGCGGGATGACCGCAATTAACATACCATCACGGGATCGCGCTATTGTGATCCACGCGTGCGGTCCACGTCGCAGGGCTAACCGCGATTATCGCGTGAACCGATTACGCGATGCTGCTGAACAACAGGAAAGATTCGCGGCCAGGAAGACCACCAGTCAGTTACCAGTCAGTTACCAGTCTCGGAAATTTCGCGAGATACGGGCGCTATCTGATAAAGAGATAGAAGCACGCCGAGACCACGTTCCCCAAATTTAATTCCACCCACGACCTCGGGTCACGACGCGCGTCTTTTATATAGGACGCGAAAAGAAGTAACGTTATTCCGAGATTCACTTTCGCCTCGTGAGATCTCGGATAGCGCGGCCTCACGGTACAAAGTTCAAAGCGGCCTGATAAAGCGCGGCACAGAGAGACACCACCCGCAGGCCGCAGGTGTATATGCCGCGAGTGTCACTCCGGGCATTTTCCGGCTTAGGGAGGTCCAGCCGTGTGTCGGGTGTTGAAACGCGCGCGTGGATTGCCTCTGTCAGGAGGAATTTCTCTTTCCTCTTCATTACGGGAGGTCGAGAAGTCGATGTTCATCGACTATCCGAGCGGCGAGCGGCAAGCGGCAAGCGGCGCGGCGCGACCTTGATCGCGCACATCGGCGGCTCGGTGCCACCGGTATAGAGATACGCACGGCCTGCGCGTCGACGTCGATAATTCGCGCGCGCGGCGTACATTCTCTCCGCGTGTCCTCGTATTCGACGTTCCTCGCGCCTCCTCGCTACCGCGCCGCGCCGCGCCGCTGCAACGTTCTCTCAGAAGCGCGAGAGCGGATCTGACAACTATTTCGGAAATGGCTCTCCCGTTCGGTAAGCGGCTCGTCGCGCCTCCACCATTGTTCCCCGGTTTTACAACGGAAATAGGCTCGGTACTTGATAAGACGCAATTAGTTTTTCGAGAACAAAAATTGCTGACTGTAATCGCACGGACTTTCACCATTTGCATAGATACATATACAATAACCCTTCCTTGTAGTTCCATGTCGACGTGGATTCGACGTAATACTTTGTCTTTCGAATATCGGTTCTCCAAACGTGAGACTTTGCTTCATTAGTAAATAACTAAGAACAATGGTTCTTTATATTCTACCTGGCTAAGCCAGTTAATAAATGTAAAGGATCATTATTATAATTATCAACCTATATTTCTGGTATCTCCATACATATGAATTCTATTTAATAATAAACAATCTGTAATTTATATTAAACCTGCCAATTAAATATAAAGATAAAATATTTCATCTTTGCTCATTTGCTAAAAATAATATTCAAAGAGTTATATAAACACAGAATAAAAAAACATATCATTTTCTTTTATTTTAATAACTATATTCTAGATCACAATTTTGTATATATTATCTAATGAATCTTCATGAAGAACAATGAAAATATGACGATAAATGAAATTTCCATTTCAGAGAACCGATAATCTTGTCGAGAGTTTAGCGTTGACTTTGTAAACGTCAGACAGTGCACACCCTACTTTACGTATAATCCTAAATAATTGTTTACATATTAAAGATAAATGGATGACGCGATGAATTTAGGTCGATTCGTCAGGTTGGATGTTAAAATGTCATTCTTGTCGTCTAAAATTTAAATTCTGTCAGTTCAGTTCGAAATAATTCGCGAAAATTGCTCACGATATACGCTAAGTCACTCTAAATTACGCAATTACGATTGATCTTCGTTTTTGCGACACGGCGGACTATCGATGGGTCGTGCCACGCCGTAGTATCTATCGCGATAGAGGTCGCATATCGATAATGTAGGTCATGCATTTTCGGCCTTGCACATTTGGCATCTGAACGTCGATTGGTTCGCGCGTCCCCGTGGACCGATTCGGTTGCTGTTCCAGGAGATCTATTGTTCCATCGAACAGCTTAAGGAACTTTATACGAAACAACTACCAACTTGCGGTCGACAGCTCGATTTACTTTATAATGCGCAAGGAGCAATTGCCTTCAGGAATCAATGACCCATATCTTGGCTAATTTATCCGCCAAATATCGCTATATATTTTTTATTATATTCACTTGCAGACGGAATGCAATTATCCTAAGTTAGACAATTAAAACGCAAGAACCTAATTTAACGCTTTGATCGCTAAAGATTGCGGAGCCCAAGTGTACGCTAACTGTATCATCTCAGATAACAAAAATGTTTAACAGGCAGAGTAAAGATATCTTAAAATTTCATTTCTTCATGCATCTTTTTTAGATATTGGTAGACGTCTGATGTAGGACACGAAATTACAAACTTTGTATTAATGTTTTTTTTTTTCAAATTCATTACGTTAGCTGTAGGCTACATTAGATTACGCGCATTTAATATTCTGTACTAAAATTCGATATCCGATCGCTTCTAATTGGGATCGTCCAATTGAGGTCATATGTTCCTACGTATATATTCGCGACGAGTCATCGTAGTGACCTTCGGTTCAACACGTTTTTGATAATACGCACCATTTATTCGAACACTTGAGGATAACAGACTAATCGTCTCTCATTACGTCACGTCCGTTATTCGCATTGCTACGCACGGTCATTGCTCGAACGCTTTCGTGACGCTCGATCGGTTTATTGTGTCGAGTTATCGCGTTTTACGCCATTTGGCATAACTCGATCCTTGTGCTTTGTTACTATATATTCGTTATTTTTTTTTAGATTCTACTTCGTCATTCTGCGTCTGTCAGGCGTTTTACGAAACGTAATTTGCAGCAAAAACAAACAACGATACATTTATCTTATTTCACTTTGCTCGTAAAGCAATTAAACAGATAATTGCAAGGATCCGACAATTAAAAACGTAATACCGCCGTATCTGAGTTCGACGTCGAGATACGATAAAGAGCTCTGCTATTTTAAAAATCAGCGCTGAAATAAAGTTTATGAATTCGCCAAAGACAGGAAAACCGCCATACAAGAAGAAAGTACGCGTATAAAAGAAATATCTGCTCTCTCGCGAAAACAACTCTTTTTTTATTTCTTCTAATATGAAATTCTCTTAAATTGTCGATTCAACTTAGATACGCAAAAGGCGATAATTACGCATCGTTGCTGGATAGATATCAAATTTTCAGAGCATTATTTAAATTTAAAGTATATGCATATTATATGATGCATTAATGTCCATCACTTCTATCGTAACGATATAATTATAAGTCATATATAAATATATATAGTTATATAAATAAGACATAGGTTTTAATATTGGACAGCTAATAATACGTATATACTGGCATAAGATTATCAGTTTTGATTGAAGTGGAGTTTTTTTTTTCTAATATATTAATAAGCTCGGTTAAAATTATTACCAAGAAGAGGCGAATTAAACGTCTTTAACATATCTGATAATCTCCGACAGTTCCTAATTAGTGCAACTTCCGTTAAGACAACGTTTCTCGTGGGCGTTATGAGCTAGCGTAGGTAGAGACGATGCAGGATACGTTTCTCAACAAGCTTACTTAATAACAAGCTGCCTTTTAGAATAAATCGACAAATAGAAAGATCAATCTGAATGTTATGAACGCCAGGGCGTGACTTGTTTTCGAAGGCACCGCGCACCGCGTCGAAACTTCATCCGCTACGAATCATCATTTCGCGCTTTTCCTTCAATAATAAATAAAAGAAAATCAATCCACACGTACAATTTCCAGCGAAAATATAAATGACAGTTAATCGAGGTTTACACCTTTACAGCTATTAATTGGAAAAAAAAGATTTTGTTAGATTTTATAAATCTAATTCTATTGAATATGAATTATAATATGTAAAGACACTAATGCGTAGGTATGTAGCAAGAAATTTGTTTTTCATTTTTAACGTTCCTCGTAATAAAAGATTAGAAATCTATTAAAGAATAATATCCTGTAGTTAGTTATGTTAAGAAATGACGTGTCGAAAAATTATTCGTAAATGACTGCGGCTTATTCACCGATAGTCGAGAGCCGCAAGAAAAACAACTCATTGGATGACATAATACACCAAATATGTCATGTACATTGTGTGTCGAACGTCACCGGTATATGATACACGGCGTTTACTGTCGTTATACGTCTGCTTCAATAACTACGAAGCAGAAACATCTCTCGAAAATGTCAGCGAGGATGAATGAAATTCCTGATTTAAGTGAGAACGTAAACTCACGCCCAGGCGACGGACGGAGTAGTCGGGAGCATGGAATTCTCTAACGTTAGTTAGAACAAGTATCCGGAATAAAAACAAATCTGCACAATGATTCGGACGCATCTAACGTAGGAAATCGACACTTCGCTAATATTTAATAGTCATCGATTCGATCGACCGTTCTCTTGCACGCGCTCAATGGTAAGGCCAAAGGCTATTGTGAATATTTACCTTGCGTCATTTATTGAGTCACTGGTATGACAGAGATAGACTAATAATTCGCAGTACTTACAAGCACTTAAAAGTCACGTAGTTATAGATAAGCTTCATGCCAATTTCATCATAACACGTTAAGAACAAATGTAAAAAGACGAGATGTACGAGCAAATAAATAACATGATACGCGATAGTCGATATGATAGTCGCAATTGAATCTGAAACAAATTGAAACTGAAAGAGATTCAGTTTCCGGAAGGAATGCAAACACACATATTTTAGATTATTTTTTGTAATCAATTATATTCTAATGTATCAGCCAAACTTTTAAGTAAAACAATTTTCTTTTATATTCAAGAATTTGTTTCGCTAAAATTTAAAATCGGTGGTTCCACGTAATACTCGCGTAATACTATATGCGAGAGGATATGGAATTTCTCCAGAAACACTTTGAGAAGGTAATAATGATAAAGAGAACGCAGTGTTGTTCTCTTGTGGAATCAGTGCCGAGTTTTAGTGCTAGAATAATAAACTTTATCTCGGTACGTATCGATGGGATATCACTGTGAATAAAGCGCACCGGCAGCTTTTATCAATGTGTAAACCGAGAGGGGATTGTCAGACAAACGTTATCAACCGGATCTACCGCTCCTTTGAAAGATAACCGGACGCTAATGAACTATTAATAAACTCGAAATGGAATGCATTCCGATAGATATACTAGCTCTGACATTTTGATGAATAGCATTATTCATTCACTCGATTATGATTCCCATTCTCTCATCGCTGTCGAGATTATGATGTCAAAATTGAGAAATTGAGTGAATATTTTTCCGCACTACAGATGCAAAACGTCCAATTGTTCCGCATACGGCCGCTCGTGCCCAGTGAAATAAATTCGTGCAGGAATATGTTGAAGGTGCTCGTTTCGGTTCGTGTGCATTAACAGACAGCCATAAATCTTGATTAACCGTGATAAGATTCATTCTCGCTGGAAATGTAGGACACATACAGATTGAATTATACGTTCATTTTAAAGGGGACAAGAGAGGGATGCTTTCAGCATATTTTATCGATTTATACTGTCGAACGCAGATGAAAATGGTGCGAAGAGAAATTAATTTGCCTCCACGTGTGAAAAAACTCACGCGATCTATTATCTGCCGCTTCTGATGTCAAGATCCAATATAGCTGCAGTAAAAGACCAGCAATTTTAATTATTAGTTTCTAATGAATTGTCGTATTATATCTGCATTATATTTCATAGCAGAACGATTGTGTAGTTTATTAGAGAAGGACGGTTTAGATCTTGTGAAAACAACTATGCCGATTACGTCGATAGCCACCGATTTATTATTCAACTCTTTTTTTTCGAGGCTCTTTCACTTCGCTGGCGACTACGCGCGCACAAAGGATTTGTTTGGAAGCCTTTCGTGTTACGGAATACGTGTAACGCTGGACTGGAAAAGGCTTCGACGATGCATCAGTGCGTTCGTTCGTTCGTTCGTTCGTCCGATGTGCCCAACGGCAAGATCGAAGCTAGTATACAGGAGTCGTTATTAAAGCGTCTCGCATCGACGGTAGTAACTTTTGCATCATACCGTTTTGTCGCAAGCTGACACATTATTTATGTACAATGTGCTTTGAATCTATTTCTGAGGCTGAATTTATCGAGCGGCTTTGACCCTCTTCGTGCTCGGCAATGTTATCGGCCGCTCTATAAAGTTATTAGACGTAAGGTCGTTAAACGCACAAACCTTCCGTTCCCGCTCGCGCTTCCGTAACTTTGCAACTTCGTGCGCCTTCGTGCATCGTAACGTGAGGCACGTCGATAATTTTAATGCAACGAGGCACTTTTAAACGATGAGGTAACAAATTGACAAAGTATGTCTGTCAAGGAATTAAAGTTGATGACGTTATTCGCTGACATTAATATTAAACGCAGAAATAATGATCGCTCGATCGAGACCGTACGTTAAAGAGATAAAGCTTAAATCCGCGTCATTTCTAAATCTTGCTGTCTAAAGATACCTCGAGTATCGAATTGGGGCAGCGATATAAGGCTACGATATTTGCAAGCCCGTCGATTCCTGATCCCCGTTTGAGATCCACGGGCGAGACGACGGACATACCAGCGGTAAAAGCAAGCGTTCGGCTCGCGCGAGTCCGGAGTATCGATTGATCGGTCAGCCGTGTGTGCGAGACTGTTTATAGTTAGATAAGAGAAAGCTGACGTAGCCGGGTATTACGTAAATAGTGAATTATCCCCGTAGAGTTAATCCGTTTATTGTTAATACAATTACATACACGTGACCATCGGATTTGTACATTTATCAATCTTCTCGCAGCCGAGGTCGAAGTTAGGCACTCTTTCTAAAATCGAATGAAATTCGTAGCTCATATATTCGTAGGTCTACAATAGTCGAGTCGAGTGCTCGTTCTATCGTTAACTCATTGTTAACCTTTCATTTTACAATATAAATCTCGCGTTTCAATCTCGGATTGTGAACTCTTTCTGTGTATGCACTTACAACAATATATTTATCTCTTGCGTACTACGAATATTAGATATTTCCCCACCGAGGATTTCAAACCATAGGCACACATATTTTATTTTCAAAATATTTGCACGCCAACTTTTCTTCTTAAATTCAAGTCTCGTCCGAATTATCAGTAGACTTCGAATAATCAACGATTTTCACGTTTATGGCTACCTCTTTGTATCTTATTATGCCTCTTTACTTTTATTACTTTGTTCATCGGTGCGTAGTCGGATAAATTCAGGTCTCGTCTGAACTAGATTTCAAATGAACGACGATAATGCGAATCTCGATGTCCGACTCAGTTTCCTTCTCGAGACCATTTTGTTTCCTTAAAGAAACGAGGCAAAAACGTCTCGTAATATCCACGTTTCTTTATCACCTTGAGATATAAATACGAGCGACGGTTTTTTTTTATATCGATCTCGATTGGTGGGACTCCCCTTACTACCGCGAGTAAGTGTGAATTATTCTGGCTATTGCATCGGGGTCGACGGTCCTGTCCCTTAATGGGTTTGCAGAACGCTTAAGATCCGCTTGAGGCCAGACGGCGCCAGTTTCCCGGCTCCTCGCCATTATCGGCAGCGTACATCCTGCTATCTGTATGCATGCATATACAGTTCCAAACAGTTCGATCACCAACGAACAAAGTAATAAAAACAACAAACGTAATAAAATATAAGGAGGAGACGATAAATGCAGAAATTTAGTCCGTAGTAGACAGTATTGCGAGACATTATTAGTACTAATGTTATTAGAATTATTATGTATATAGAGTGGAGACGGAGGACACTTTGGTCATGTAACGGGAACTTCAGCTATCCAACTTAAGCCTATTAGAAGTTGGCTCAGTTACTGAATCGCGATAATTTAAGGAACTCGTAAAGCAAACTTCGACCAAACTTTAATTAACTTCATCGGAAATGGATACAACCGATGAAGTTGCTTATAGCAAAATTTTAAATTATATGATTTATTATCTCTAATTTAATATTTTTTTCTGCGTCAAACAATAAAAAAAGTAGTAATTTATACAAAATACCGTGCAGGCATTATTTGATTAACTTAATCGACGAGTTTGATCGAAGTGACTCATAGTGCATGATACAAAACCGTGTCTTCTAATATCGATTTGTGTAACATACTACATATTTATGTACGAGAACTATGAATATTACAAACATGCATTTCTCCATTTTTGCTCCCATGGTATTTACTTTCAATGATGAACAACAAGATAACAGAGCACCTAGAAATAGCGTTCGATCGCGCAAAAAATTTGCATTAAAGCTAATGTATAATTGTATCAGACACTGCCTGATTAATTGTCCATGACGCAAACAACAATTTATGACTTTATATCTTTATTTTATACCCTTTACAAAAAGCACAGTCATTCGGTCACGCGCTCGCGAAATGAGTCTCTCCCAGAAGCTAGACTGATCTCGACTCCACTTCTGTAAGTTTCTTAATTCTACTGAGAGCCTACGGTCAGTTTATTATAATTTAATTTATTTCCTCTATTTTTTTTACGGAGATAGGATCCATTTGTCTTCCGAGAGGCTCGAATGATTGTCCTGACACGCGATTCGATAGCTTGTGTTTTCAAAGCGCTCGATCGGAACTGCGTCCTTGGTCGAGCTCCGCTCTCCTTGCCCGTGATGCGCGGCCCACATTTTTATCGACGGAACTTTATTTATTTTTAGAAAAATATACGATGGAATACCGACTGCACCAGCATGGCACTTTCGTTACGAGAGAATCGAACGAACGCGCGTTCGGGGAATAGCTCAAATAATACAGCCCAAAGTATCGCTGCGTTTTTATGTAGAATACCTAGGGATGTTACGTAGAATACCTTGATTATCTGCGACGGAGACTTTAATGAAATCACGCTAAAAATTTCAGCTAAAGAAAATAATTGGAAATTCCCTCCCTTTCCTACCAAAACTTCCGTTCAAGAAAATCCCAAAAGTTACTAAAATAATATTAAGTTTTATATATTATTTACATTTATGTTCAATATATTAATTATAAAGTTCGGAGTAACATATATTTAATTGGTCCCTTATCTATCAGTCTATTTATTATATACATAAATTTATCTGCCAAATGTAACATATAAATTTCGTATTGATTATCGCGTCAAACATTAGCCAGCTGAGCTGAATGTTACACGTACTCCTTCTGGGTCAATGACCGCGCCGCGTATGACGCACGTCAGGCAGAGAAATGGCAGAAATGAGGTGAGGTTAGGCTTGAAACAGCTGATAGGAAAACAAAGGGACGCTGCTCCGTTTTTCGTCGGGGTGCAGACAAAGCGCGGGAACGCTCTAACGTATATGGTACGATTTTCAGCTGGATGAGGCTGATGGAACCCTTGGGTGTCGCCCAGGATATTGTGGAGTCGGATGTGTTGAAACGATGGGCTGACTATCCCATCCAGCACCGATACACGGACTACTCCGACTCGGCTCGGGAAACGGCGCATCACGCCATAAGCCCCTTTCCCTGTCAACCGTCGCTTAACAACAAGCTCGCGCTATGGTGAGAACTTTAGACACGTAATCTCATTAAAGAACTTCCTGAGTCAAGTTAATCTATTAGCCAATCAAGTTGATAATAAAATTGTACGATACATTAATGCTCCATAAATTGTTTCAGGACTGGAGATATCTCGATATTACAAGTAGACGCAGTAGTAAATCCTACCAACGAGACGATGGATGATAATAGTCCTACGTGCCAAAGAATATTCAGCCGAGCTGGTTCTGCACTCAAGATAGAAATATTTAATGAAATTAAAGGTCTATATTTTGACATGTGCTGTGCTTTTGACAGTGAATTTGTCTTAAAAAAATCTTAATTGCCAAAATCTTAATTGCAGAATGCAGAACCGGTGAAGTGAGAGTAACACAGGGTCATGGATTGTCTGCTCGTTTTATTATTCATACCGTTGGACCAGTTTACAATGTCAAGTATCAAACAGCTGCGCAAAACACGTTACATTGTTGCTATAGGTAATTTAAATATTTAATATACGTAGATAAACAAAAATATTGGTTCACTTTTACTTTGATGTTGTTAGAAAATATATAGAAAATAAATTTTGCTAAAAGAAGAAACATAGGAATTAATTTTAATCTTTTCGCTACGGAAGAACTGAGTAAAAAGCGTGTATACAACTATTTTGTCGTGTTTGTTATCTTGTTGTACTTTATCTTGTACTGTCTCTATACGAGTTATTTAAATCAATGAATTGATAACATAAAAAATTCGATTATATAATTTAAAAAAATAAGGAAAACATTTTATAATCACATTTTCCTATTAAAACTTATTTCTAAGCATTTTGAGATCAAAATATACTGGTGGACATGGAAAGAAAACATCAGGAAGGACTGATATATTCACTACTACTTGTAAGGTACCCCCAATAAAGATTTCCATATGTTGTACAATTTTGTCTTTTTTATCGTGCACCGTGCTCGACCGTACGAATGAACACAGTATCGTATGGATAAAGTGTTCTTGATGTTCTTTTTTCCATGCCCACCAGTATAAGAAATTTCTACTATAAATAAAGTTAATTTTTTTGTTTAAACATATATTTAATAATGTAAAATAAAAAATAATTAAATAATATAAGATATAATCGTAATATGTATAAAGAAGAACTCAAAGTTAATAATATGTTGTGTACAATAGATTAAAAACCAGGGCGTTATATATAAGTTGTTGCACATTGTAACAATATCGCGACGTACATTTTTTATCATTTTTGGGACAAGCAGCACAATGCCGCAATGGATTTGTTTTTGTATTATTTGTTTTTGTATTATTGCTTTGGAGCGAGCCGGCTGTTTGTACGCGTTCCGTTATAGTGGTCGTTCGTACACAGGGGTAGATTTGTGGGCGGCCACTACATAATCCTTCGTAGCGAAAGAATTAAGCCTTTCGATCTTACAATATAGGTTTTTTCTATCATAGAAATGTTCTACAAAAGGCAAGAGAAATGGGATTGCGTACCATTGCTCTACCAGTAATAAATTCGGTACGGAGAAATTATCCTCCGGATGCAGGAGCGCATATAGCTCTCAGTAAGTACGGAACGAGCAAATGTCTGTCTAAATTTAAATATACGTCGATACGTGATGAATAATAAACGATTTTTCCTTTTCTAGGAACTGTACGTAGATTCATGGAGCAATACAGCGATTCGTTAACATGTATTATATTTGTACTAGAGCCGTGCGATCTTGGAATATACGAAGTCCTTCTGCCGCTTTATTTTCCCCGAAATTTGGCAGAGCAGGATAACGCTTGCTGGCAGTTGCCGAATGATATTGGCGGAACGGACGGAGAACCTTTACTTCCGGATAGACAAATCAGAATCATTGACAATCCTCAGCACGCTTTGCATGGTAACGAAACGTGCCGATGTAACATTGCAAATATGAGGGTTCAAGCGATATTTCTTTGAAAAGCATACCGCACTTTTACAGGCGACGAGACGGCGGAACTTTCGACACAATTGGAGACTTCAGTCAATATCGGTGAGCATGCCTTTGCGCAAATGCAGGGTGATTTGGACCGACAGAGACTTTTGGGAGAGAGACCTTTTGCCGATCCACTGGCGGATATCATGCTCAAGCAAATGCAGCATAAAGAAAGGTACGAATTTGTGAAATGGTCCTTAATATAGGATTACTTAAAAAACACCTTATATTTCTATAAAATTAGGATTAATTTTGCAATAGTTAACTGTAAATAATCAGCACATTTAAATCAGAAGAATGACACTAAGTCTATTTTTATGGTCAAATTAAAATGATATGATAAATTATCGTTGAAGAAACATTGAATATTTTGACTCCGGAGAAAATAATAAATTTTGTCTTCTTTCTTTCTAATTTTTTTTTCTCTCAGATGATACTGACTGCACAATTCATGATCTGTGTGAAATTTGTGAAATTCATATTTATGATTCATCATTCACGTTAATTCATCAATATATCCAAAGGATTATTATTTAGCGGAAAATTATATAATATTGCAAAGCTAGTTTTTCTGTTGAATGCAATAATTAAGTCTTGATAATTTTTTAATCTCAACGGCACTGTATGTTTCTCCTTTATCCACGCAGCACAGCGACAAATAATGTATTCGTACGGAAAAACAGTCTCTCCTATACCGATACAAGAGTCGAACATTGCCGTGGAATTAATAATTAAAGATTTCTTCTATATCGACATGAAAAATGCATTGTGTTTATGAGCATGTAAAATGAATGGAGAATTTTTAAGGATGTAAGGAACATTAGTCAGCTTTAATCCAGTCCATTATTGTTTTACAACAGTGGATATTTAACCCTTCCTAATATTTTATACTGCAAATGCCGAAGTCATTACAACTTTTTCCGAGTTTATTGTTCTTTTCATACTTATAATTAGTAGAGTTCATTAATCACTTTTGCAAAATAATTTATATGTAATTATCTTTGATATGCAAATGTTACAAAGGTACCTTTGAGATTTTTTATTCTTTTTTAAAAAGTTCTCATTTAACATTAATTTCGTATATTCGGGCATCTTTTCAAGTAATTTTATATTTTTTGTAACAAAATTCCTATTAATATTATTGTTAATTATTAATAAGTTTTTATTAGTTAACAGCGATATGTTCGCGCACGTATCACAAATAGTTATATTGATTATCTGATAATATATGTATAAGGCTCCTGCACAATGAGAGGAATAAGGAATAAGGAGCAAGGAATTAAACATAGAGAAAATTCATAGTCGCATCTTATTTTAAGACACGGCTCCTGAGTCTCGAAAAATATCGCGTATGATAATTCATGAATGTCACTAGAAAATAACACTTTGCAAGTGTGCTATTGATTGCAAAGTGTGTTATTCATGACATATCGTACGAGACATTTTTCGAAAATAAAGCTCCAGGTCTTGAAAAAGATGCGACTATAAATTCTCTCTATGTTTAATTTATTCCTTACTCCTTATTCCTCTCATATTGTGCATAAGCCCTTACAGTTGACAAAACGATATCATATCTATGAATTATATCGTTTATCGACTTTTGCGACTATGACGCACGTACAGAGTTTGCTTTGTAATACCTGTTTCTAATTGATTTCAGCGCTGAAATATCATTTGCGTCATAGAAATAAATCATTCGTTCAGATCTGACATTTTCTCTCGCATTAAATGTTTATTTCGAGCCTGAGATAGTCATCGACGTCATTTTATCGTGATATGTCGGGTTTATTGCAGTGAGAAGATCCATGTGTGAGTCGATTGATTATACTAATGACGGTGATTCATTGTGTGAGCTACTTTTTCAAAATAGAACGATTTATTTTTTTGCTTCAATAAGATAGTCATCTATCATTATATTATTATAATATACGTCAGTAGTATATTACGGGTAATACTGAAACGAGTAATCTCACGGAACACGATTTATTTCCAAGTTTTATTCCGATTTATATCCGAGTATAATAAAAATTTTTTCTGAATATTATCGCATTTTACCGTTCTAAAGTGCAATTTTATCTTCACCTGCAACTTTACAGAGCTATTCAGATACATTAGGGAATACTTTTGTGTCATACTTTCGATAAAATACCTTGGATTTATCTAATCGAAGTCAAGGTCACGAAACTGCAGCCTTAAGTAACAACATGACGCAATCGCGTGTAGTATTAACGTCTTTGTAATTTGTTATCTAATTTTTCCTCAGAAAGAATAGTCTATATATATAAGAAGCGATGTTATTTCGTTTTTAAATAATTATTAATTTAATTCATTTTAAAATCATCATTCCTTTTTCATATACGCAATGCAAATTATGATGAGACTTTTTTCTTAGTTTTCTATTTATATGCACGAGTTATCTAAAATTTCGCGAAATATACGCCGATTGCCCCGATTAATCTGTAAAGCATATATTTGTTTTTTCAATCTAAGATAATTCCGAGCGTCAAACGTTCCTACTGCGCACGAACATTTTAGCGAAATGCTAATTTGTCGATACGTGCAACGTCAATACGTGTTCTTTAGAGTCGTCAAAATTTTTCAGTTTATATTTAAAATAAAAACTTGATACTTTAATTTTATCATTTTACGAAATACAGACTAAAGAAATTTTATTGGTGGAACACTTGCAACAAGATTGCGCCTTCTAATGACAGTTCATTAAATATGAATAGTTCGTTATGCAAGAGCGTCATCTGCATGAACTAAAAGAAAAAATTATTATTTTGAGAAGAAACATGCACGGGGATTTAAAAATGTTCTCTAAATGTATTTAACTGCAAGTTTAATAAATCTATTTCCATTACTATCAAATGTAATCCGACAGCGATTTAGAACATTGCGATAGCTTGTGTACCGAATTGGAAATGTTATTCTTTAAATTGGCCTTCACAGTCGCCTGACACGAATTCGATCGAAAATACATGATCGATCGCGAAAGGGTACTTCGAAGATAGCCTGTATTCATGCTAAAGCAGCTGTGTCCTTAAATCTCCAAGTAATTCGAAAGTCATTACTTCTAAATCGCGCTGAATTTCTTGCTCAACAGTTGCCAGATCGTATTCGATAACAATGAAGATTGGATGATTCCCTAAGCAAATGCGTGATAATACCTATATAAAGCGGATTTAAAGTTCACTTTTTTTTTCATTTTCGTCTTTTTTCAAAAAACAATTATTTTATTTATTATCTTATTGATCTTTTGTATATGCAAACGACATTTTACTTATTTAAAACGTCCGCACACCAGCACGCAAGCGTGTTCGATAAATAGCGCAAGCGGTCGGGTCGGGAAACGGAGCGCGTTTTTCAGCTTCCTGCTTCCCAATCTGCCCATTACAAAAATGATGACGAAAAAGCAGGGAAAATAACAAATTGACAGTTGTCCAAGGCCGGCGCGGACCTTATATTACTCGCAATTAAAAAGGAATACATCGCGATCGAATTAAACAACGGGCTGGCGACCCCTACTCCGCGCCTCGTCGCATCGCCTCGCGCGCATCGAGCTCGCAGCGTTCCGCGAGTCGGGCAGGCGCCGTGCGGTGCCTCCTCAGAAGGACCCGGCGCGGTGTGGGAGCACCTCGTAGACATCATAGTCGTCGCGGACGTCGCAACCGAAAGGCGGCTCTCCTTCTCTAGAAGTCTTATATAGACAAGACGATTCGGTTCGGTTCCGTTCAGTTTGCTGCGACTCGTCGTACCGCTGCCATCCTTTTCCGTCGCCTCCCTCGAAGTGTGCTCCGATCGAACGACCGGAACTGTGCGTGGTCTCTCGTTCGTCGTGCCGCGACCGATTCCTTTTTAACGAATGTCGCGAGTAAAGACGGACGCACACGGCTGCTAGTGGGCCCGATCAATTTTCTTTCTCTTTTCCCCTTTTCTCCTTTTCTTTTTTACCGAGGCAAAATCGCGGAAGGCGAAATCACGAAGGGAACGTGACATCAGAATGGTCATGATTGACATGGTGGATGTCATCGAGGATGAGGACCGGTGTGTATTATAAGAGTAGTGCTCGTCGTTCGTTCGCGCGTCGTCGAACCTCGTGTTGAACGCGATTCCGATGAAACTCTCGTTATCGGCTCGCTATTGATCCCTGCTCTTTTATTGGCGTTTGTCCAGTATATTTCCCATACCGGTTACCCCGTTGAAGAATATACCGGAGCTGGTAATAATCGATCCAGGAGAATTCATACATGATGCAGTATTGTCAAGTCGATTTGCTCTGCACTTATTTACATTCGATGATCTTGGAAGAAGTAGTTTGAAATTGATCGACAAGTTGCGATATATTTAAGTGAAATTTTATTAGCAGAATGTGTGTTCCGGATCGGCTACTCGAAAAGAGAATAAAATGCAAAGAGCACAGAGGGCCACCATACAGTAGACGCTTAGAAATGTTAATGTAAAGTTCGCGACGGGGCTTGGGTGTTTGCGATAAGACGCACCCATGAAATTTATATGCTTTACAAAATTACATATTTATGCACGTCACCGTTTGCGGTTTACGTTATGCAAAGCAGCATCTTCCGTATTATAATTAAATTTGCATGATGATAAGTCGTACTGTAAAATTCGAGCATCGTATCGCGCATCGTATCTTCCTTCAAACTCGTCGCGAATAACGGCGCTTAAGCGTGACATTGTTGATTTGTTTGTTTTACTTAAATTAACGATGTGTCCTTTGTGTGAAAACAAATTCGGATCTACAGCCAATAACAACCGACGACGTTTCGCGTCGGTTTTTCATCTTATTTAAAGATTTTAAGTACTAATTATTGAAAACCTTTTCATGTATTTATACAGGTATTTATACTGCACATTGAAATTGCGTATACTGCAACATTGTTTGAAATTAGAGCTATTCAGCAAAGTGGACATATTAAGAGCATTTAAAATGCATATTTTTAAACACAATCGTGCACAATTTACTTTATCGTGTACTTATCTTTCGTAACTCTGAAAACGAAACGTTTCCGTAAAATATGACCGAACGAAATATTAATAGACGGTAGAAGAAATAGCTTATGTATACTGAATATATGACAAGACGAACGAAATCGTTATTTTGTAGGTACGAAAGGCTTCTTAGGAGGGCGAAGACGGAGGACCTAACTGAGGTCTCGGGGATCGGTTGTTTGTACCAGAGCGGCGTGGACCGGCAGGGCCGACCGGTGGTGGTTTTCGTCGGCAAATGGTTCCCGGCCACCAAAATCAATCTAGACAAGGTAAAGACCTTTGCGTGTGCTCTGAAAATCAATGTTATGGATTGTGCAAGAAAATGAGGAATCTGCCGCTCAGCTTACGTTACAGTAAAAGTATCATCATTCAAACTATAGAAATTCAACGTTAAAAATTCGATAGAGTGAAGAGTGATGCTGTTGAAAGCATAATCTTCTCAAGTAAAGTAATGAAAATTATCTTCATCAATGTTATGCGTAGTTCTCAAAGAATTGGAGATTGCAATAGTGTATACCACCGTTCTATAGTCACTCTTGGTTGCCCTTTGGAATTTAATCGATTCGTTTGAAATGTATAATAGAAAGTGTTTTACAGACTATTCTTCTGTTAAAAGTATCTTTAATTTTTACGCTCTTGCCGTATACATTTATGCTACATTGCACACCTAACATTTTGATGCGTTTTAATCGAACATTATTGAGCATTTGCTTATAAATTACAGTAATACAAAATTCCGCGACTTACTTTTCCAATAAATACAATTTTCCGATAAATTCAAATTATATTTATGTTAATTTTATCGATGCGCGTTACACAGTCGACTTCAAAAAAAAATTATTTTTTTTTAATGACTCAAAGGTATTTAACAGCGGATACGAGAATTTGTTTCCAAAAAACTGTCACTAGTCGACGTTTGCGGAATACAAATTCTCTTATCGGATATCAGAAATGTTTCAAAAAACATTATAGAAAAAGTGTCTATTTCGGCTGCAAACACATTGAAAAGTTGTACCACTTTTCTCTATCTCTTTTCGAAGTATTCTGGATACGTGCCGATTCTCTAACGAGTCCGTGTATCACAAGACTTGCGCATGCCGCTCGATTGCGTCGCGTCGAGGCCAAGTCTCGATCATTTGGCGCCTATCTTTGCGCCAGTTGTGTCCCGTTGTGTCATTTCCTTTCCCCGTCGGACTCATCCTTACTCCGCTCATAGCCAGAACGCAGTGAGATATAGCGGCGGGTGGCGAATCGATATTTACACGTCCAGAAATAGACCGACCGCGGACCAAGTCCCTCCATGGGGGGAGGGCGAGAGCGGACTGCAACGTCGTCGCGACGCGCACCCCTATCCTCAATGAAACTTTCTCATCCTATTAACCCCATTTGCATCGGCAACGATCTGCGAATATCACATCATCGGCAGGAGTGGTGTGGGACACCTAGTCGATAATTAAGAAAAAAAAAACAAACGATTATTAACACGTTTCTGCTTTTTCTTTCTTTTCGTCGGTATTAACACCGTAGTTTGCATGAACTTCATGTTGCAATTGACAAAAAAAAAACGGATGAGACAGTTTTGACATGTCAACTTTTCTCACATATAATAACTTTAACCTTTTATACAATAATTTCTTCCTATATTTTCCAATATTATCGATAGTAACAGAGATGTCTCGAGTATTAAATTAAATGAAATACGAAATAAATAAATCTTTATATATTATATTCTTATGAAGCACAAGTAAATCTAGAAGAACATTTTTAAAATTCAAAAAGAAAACCGTGTTCAATAGAACGCACACTTTCTTAAAACTTGCGGCTTTCAAATGGCTTTTGATCGAGCGCGAAAGTTCGGTCTACATTTCTGTGTGCGAGAAAGAAAACACGTGCAACTTTGTAAATCATTTGTTATGTACCACCAAGACATCATCAATGCCTTAACATTCACTTCTCGAACCAACGAATCCACGTTTTCATCGTGACTTGTACGTCGCTAATTACTCGATCGCGTGTTCCAAATCTTTCGCGCAAGGAAGAAAAACTTTTAGCTTCATTTCTATCGGTTCTTTTTATTCCGATTGTCGATTAGCGATTCATCACCGGTGGTAAAGGACCACCGGTATGATGACATGCTTCGCTACTTTAACTTTAATCGAGATAAGAATATCAACGACGTCACATAAAGATTCATCGGTACAGCTAAAAATATACACTGCCATGCAGCGGCTGTTGAAACTACGTCATGTACACATAGCGTTTGTACGAGATGATGCGCGTTCTGAGACGAGAGATTCGACGTGCGTAATATCATTAGCTATTAATACCGAATCTCTATTAAGTTTGTTAATTTAAACATCTGTTCCATTCCCGCGCCTTTGTTTCGTGCCTATTGACCCGCTTTTGAGATGAAATATTTACGCTCAGTTAGGAGGTTAATTACACAGCGACCTGAGATAACGTGTCTTCAGGGTCGATAGCGACACGTTTTGCAATTTACGGAACAGCATCGATTTCGACTTGGCGCGAATTCCCGTTGTCGACAGCAACACCGATTTGCTTTTCACCGATTTTTACGCTTAGGAGCTCCTATTAGAACGGAAGTTCTAAGAGCAAAAAAAATTTCAACTTCTTCATTGTCTCGCATTGATATAACAGATAATAACGATCGTCGTACGCATTGCATAATGATATCATTTGATCGTAATCGGACACGCATAGTTGACTCGCATAAAGATACGTTTGTAAAATAATTTCGAAGTCTACATCGCTTTCTCAGTAATATTATTAGTTTCATTTTAAAAAGAGCGAAGAACTGATGGAATAATATAAAGGAGTTGTAAATAATTTTGAATACATCGCTTTTTCAGTAATATTATTAGTTTCATATTAATAAGAGCGAAGAAGAACTGATAGAATAATATAAAGTTGTCATCAATTCAATATTCATGACAAATATTTGCAAAATTATTATCTGCATGCAATTCTTATGTTAACTCCTTTAAGCCGCGTCTAGACTTGTGCGTATACATCGTATCATGATATTTTCTTATCAAAATACGGATATGTTGATTATAATGATATGTCAAGGCCTTGTTTTTAATCCGCATTCATATCCCGTATCTTACAGATTAAAAACAAAGCCTTGGCATATCATTATAACCAATATATCCGTATTTTGATAAAAAAAATATCATGATACGACACGGTGATACGATACAATAACGTCTGCACCCAGCTTAAAGAGGTTAACATAAGAATTGTATGTAGATAACAATTCTGTAAATATTTTTCACAAATATTAATTGATGACAACTGAAGGCTGTCAAACTGTCACAACGTGGTCACAACATCTTTGAAGTCAATTTTTCCTGGTCATTTAACGAAGACATCGATTTCTGCAAACCAAAAAGATTTCTACAATTTATATAATGAGAAATCTTGTTTTTCTTGCTTACGTGATTTCGAGTACACAAGCCTATGTTAGCACAATCTAAATTTCTTACTGTAACCCTGCCGAGCTCACGATATATATACGTTGCTATGAGTTCATTGATCGCCCGAAACCCTCCGACATTTGTCGGTCTCGAGCCTTCGGATTTCTCGCGAAGGTGAAACGATGAAATCACAATGAAATTGCGACGTTGGTTCTTTCAATAGAAACGGCCCAGGATACATCACATATTCCACGACGTAGAAAAGCCTTGCGAAATACCTACATTCTGTATATCTCGCCGCTGACGTTCCATCGATCCCGAGAATATTATTTACGCAGCGTTTATTTTAGGACATATTTACCCCTGTTTCTCTACTCTACTTTGACAACGCATTTTTTTTGCGCAAAATGAATTCCCAACATATATTAAAGGGTATATGGCTGCGATTTAGCTTTATACGATAATAGTGTATAAAATCAGCGACATATTTTTTACCCTCGTGTCTCTTGTGATTTTAGGCCTTGCTGTACCTAATACAATTGCTGGATCCTATCGTGAAGGGAGATTACGTTATCGCGTATTTCCACACCCTTACGGCCAGCGGCAATTACCCTAGTTTACACTGGTTGCGCGAAGTCTACAATGTGCTTCCCTATAAGTAAGTTGTACGCTTGAGATATCGAACGCATCGAACCTATTGATCGCATTTTAATGCAGAATCACAACTACGTTTTTATGATACGTATAACGTAAAAGAAAAAGTAAGGTATTCGAACGTTATTAGAAATTTGGCAACAGTCTTTTGATTGTAACGTTTCATAATATTTAATAAATTAAAAAAAAAAAAAATGATTTTTTTAAAGCTTTCTTCAATAAATTTTTCGTGAAGACAGAAGAGATGTCATATGTCACTATACAAACGAAAATAGAATTTTTATTTTCTTATATCGCCGAGAAAAGAATGAGACTAAAGTATTGTTAAATTACCATAGTCCTAGTTATGCAACGGGAAGTTGCATCGAGTTGCAGCCTACGCAACTTGATGCAGCTTGTTTGCAGAAATTTGATAGCGATCTTGAAACAGAGTTTCTTTTACAGATATAAGAAGAACCTAAAACATTTCTATATTATTCATCCTACCTTCTGGACCAAGGTTAGTAATAGTATAATCATTGCGTCGTAATTTTATACCGATTTAACAAGCTAGGGCCTTATGCTCAATAAACGTTATTTAAGACGCAGAACCGCACTGTTTAATGATTACTATTGCACTTCCCACGTTCATGCATGACGAATTATCTTCGGAACGATCGTATCAAATTTCCTGGCTATTCGTACTTCGTTAGCAACTACGCACGCAGTAATTTTGTAATCAACAATTTTTTGCATTATTAAAAAGTAATTAATAATAACTATAATTTGAAAATTATATCATCTCTATGCAGATTCTACTCTTGTTTGTTCTCCTCTTATTACGATTTTACATCGAAGAAACTCAAATATTGTCTAACAAATACAATTGATCGTTTGTTATAGATGATGACGTGGTGGTTCACGACCTTCATGGCTCCAGCTATTAAGCAAAAGGTTCACAGTTTGCCTGGAGTAGAATATCTGTATGAAGTTATGCCGCCTGACCAACTCGAGATCCCAGCGTACATCACGGAATATGACATGACGGTACGACAAGCAACAAAGTGACCATCAAATAGAAAAAGTCTCAATTATTATCGAGTTTATTTTTCTTTACAGATAAATGGCCTGAGGTATTATCAACCGGACCACGTCTTGTCGTCGCCATCAACGTCCACGTAATTCGCAGGTGAAAATGGAAGCAGCCAAGCGTCAAAATCGAGGCCAGATCGAGTGTTCTGTGCATTCGTATTTTTGCAGTAACACCGTGCGCCACTTATACGCGTGAGAACCGTAATACGCATAAGATTCGTGACCGCTGGTGTATCTCGCCGGTTTTCGGCAATGACTGCATACGATAATCTACGAAAAAGTAATTCGATTCCGCAATAACTTGAAGTCGATTTGTCCAAGTGCCTCGTGATGGACCGCTTAGCAGGAAAAAGGACGAAAGGACGATCGGCCGCGCGAATGTTAATACGAATATTAACGAATATTACAAAAACAAAACAAAAAATCAAGAAACCACTGCCCGCCTGCTTCTGACGTTGATTGGTTCTTTTTACTCGTATGCGCGCTCACGCATATGAGTTTTTACGTCACCGAAAGTACGAAGATAAAACTTGGTACTGGACAATCCAAGTTAAGATAAATAATCGCGAGAAAGCTGGATCGACCGTATGCACAGCTGGAAGTGCATTGTTAACAGAGTATATTCTCCTTATCCAGTATAATAGAGCTAATAAATTACTATTCGCTTAGAGCGAACATCGGCTGCCAAAATATCAATAATCAGTATTTTCATCGTCGTCGTCGTTCGCAAAAACAAAATCCAAAAAGCTGAAATATTAACCTCTCGCCCTTGTACATATTACGCTATTCGTGGCAGATTCTTAGCTTTAGTACTGCCTGTGAAAGCGGTAGAAGGGATAAAGGAAAGCATTTGACGACGCACTAGAATTAAACGTCGGCTTAATACAGACCGTCGATCGCTTTCTGTTATTTTCGTATATCAATCGTTATACAGCGAAGAGTATCTATTTGATTATTGTATATTGTCAATATTTTTTATTAATTCACGTCGTTGATGAAGAGATTGTGCTGCGCTGCCGCCGCCGCCGCCGCCGCCGTCGTACACAGCCGCGGTATATTTTCGATATACTAATAATAAATCATCGGCTACGAACAAAGAGCGGTTGGATGTTTTACTGTGATGTCATGTCTTCGGCGCTCAGCAGATTTCATCAGTTTTAAAACTTTGTTTGTCTTTTCTCTTGCGAAGACTTCGACGCGAAATGCAGAGAGCAGTTACCAGAATATTACCGTTGAGCGCCGAAGTCGTATGCACGGGACAGTTCTAGAATAGAAGAAGCAATAAATTTAAGAGCTTGCTCGCGATGTATTTCGGGAGGCAAAAAAATCGTTATCCCAGTTGTTAAGCATTTTTAGCGATTAAAGAAATAAATTAAAGAAGTTAAAACCTGTTAATCGCGTCGATTAGCCCATTTCTCACGCCCGCCGAATCACGAATATTTCGCGGCAAGTATAGCGCCATTTGTCCTCCGCTTTTCTTTAATCTTTTGTCAATTAGTTTTTGACACGACGAGAGAAAAAAGCTATTTCGTGCTTAATCGCGGATGAGTTGAGAAGGCAATGGGTTAATTGACCACGCTACCTCCGCCGAAGATACAATCGTCCGTGTGATCAAGTACATAAGTGTTTATACGTATGTAAACAGTTATGGAATTTAAAAAGCGCTACTCGTAATCATCGTATGGCTACATTTAGAAGACGCAATGATTACACAGCAATTAAATGAACGCGCTATGATCAGTGAGTGTGTCTTAATATTTTACAACGTTTAAAACCGCGAAATCACCTTTGCAATTTTTCGGAAATTTATTAAAAAATATTTATACGCTATGAATATTATATTGCATACATTTACATTTGCCATTTTGTTCTGAGCTAAGTATTATTCTTTAGATTTTGGTAAATAAGATTATGATAATTATTTATTTATAATAATTTTATAATAACTTCACTGCAAATTCAAGTGTGTTATTTTAGCTGAAGCTCTTGTTACACATTTCTTGCCGTTTTAAAGCACATTTCAACACGATAGAACGTATTAACTTGTAATTTAATGTAATTTAACGTGTTAAACGACATAATTTAACACATAAAGAAACATGTAAAAAGAGCTTCAATCTAATGTGTCATTTTTACACGTTTAATGACGTTTATGCGTGTAAAAATAACACACTTGGATTTGCAGTATTATTTACAATAATTTTTATGGTTTTCATACATAACATCATTCTCAATGTGAAACGTATTAGGTAATTGTAATTGCCATTGCAATATTCTTCATGTAAATATTTTTAATACTTTCCTCTTACAATGTTGTTATATATATCCAACAATACCATATAATTATTAGATTCTTGCTATATTCATTAAATCGCGCATTGATTTAATTGATTCCATAATCGTTGTGTTTTTTAAATGCAGTCGTTATGTTCGCAGCGATGGGATAGTATTTTTTCACGTTACTGCATTTACATATGTCTATGTTTTGCAAAGACTTTTAATGCTATTCGCGCTGCGAATAGTCGGAAAAAATTAACCTCGTACTATTCGGAGGGGCCAATAGTGTCAAATAGACTATTTCTATTTCTATTTCTCATTTTTATGTTTAATAATCTTACTGTCCGTCCCTGACAATCGAGTTTAATACGTAGTAAAAATTGTTCAAGATGCAACATCCAGAGTGATTGTTCGCGCGCGTTATTATTTTTTAATTAATATATTTTATATTAGTCATTATTACTTTATTGTCTCAAAATTTTAATTGACAAAAAATTCGGTAATTCCTATATGGTGCTATATCAACGATCTTAATAAATTTTGAAATTATTAAATAATAATGATTAATTTTAAAATACGAATAATTGCTCGTTGCATTTGTGTGTGATTTATCTCTGGCAAGCTTGTATACGAGATAACGAGATTTGAGAACGAGGAATACGGTTAAAGCCTTAAAATATATTATATTGAGATATAATACATCTCATGTACCTCATATGAGATATAATATAAACATATTAACCTAATATGTTTATATTAAATAATTGATGATCGAGTCTATGATTATATATATGTTGACAAATACTTATTAGGATGATTGGGGAGATTCTCTCATATATACATATAATCTTTTAAGGTCCTAATCTAGTCCCTTTATCTGTAGAGAAAAATATACTTTCTTAAACAAATATCGCATAAAACTATATTTGCATTGTTCTTTCTTAGTGCATTCGATTTTCAAACTTTGTCTTCCCATGTTACACCAAGCAGAATCGCGTTTTCCTTTTGATGTCTTTTGTTATGGCTGTTCTGTAATATAAATATGTATAATGTATAATTAGAAAACTTATTGATTCGCCAATAGATAACTATTAACTTTTAGTAAAGCGATAATATAAACTCGTACTGATTTTGGTTATTTTGATAAAAAAAGTATGTCAACTAGACTAGGACCTTAAGCGAAATTAGTCAATCACCTAGTAATATTGAGATACGCGCGAATGTAAGTATGTACGTGAAGTGAGAGTACGATCTCGTCTTAGCACCATGAGCTGAAGCGTTCTCTTTTAAAACAAAGCACATTTTACTTTCAACTTTTGGCGTGATAAAAAGTAATAATTGGCAAGTTAAATTTTTTTTTGCTATTTGCTTTTTTTACATAACAATAAAAAATAGTTATTGTTTTTTTCCTGTACGTTGCATGTTTGTTAAATAATTTTTTTTATCAGATTTAAATAAATTAAATTTTAATTTATCGCATCAGTTTCATCTATTGTGTCTGTTTTCTCGAGTAAAACAATATACATATGTTTCTTTAGTCTGAGATAAAATTTTTCTTATGAGTGTCATGAACTACTGTTATACATGCTATATCGCTTTTATAAAGACTGTTACTCTTAATCTCGTACTTAAGCCAAGTTAATACAAGAGTATATGATCGTGATAAAAGAAAAGAGAGAATCATAATCGCGGTGGTGACGCTTCGCGATCGTACGCACTATCATGATTTATAATGTATGAGAAATATTGTTGAAAATCACACATTGTGAGTTTATTTAAGACCTAGAAAAAAGTGCTGAAACAAAAGTCAACTTAAACAATTATTGATTACATGCTAAGCTTAGTCATTTTTTTTACATAGTAAATAGTAATATGTCACAGTCACAGCTGGGTCATGAATATTTTATAACCTAGGAAGTTACATTTCCTTAATTATCGCGTTTCCATAGTTCGTACTTAAGAATAGATTGTTATTAACGACGAAACCTTGTGCGAAATGCCATTTATCCTTTATTGTTTCTTCTCGATGTCGACGCACGACCTTTTAACAGGTGCACTTCTTTCTCCGTTGTATCCTTTTTTATAGAATACAATAAACATATTATTTCAATAAAACCTACATTATCTTATGCATTTTATTTTGCGCGCTGACGCGTTTCCTGTTTTTCCCGTTCACGCAAACAGCAAGATTGCGTGAACAAATCCAACAATGTTAATATTAGAATCGTAGGTGGGACATTCTTATTTTATTCGAACTCGCGTCAAATACGTGTTTTAAAGTCTAACAACAATTTGTATTCTGATAAATTGAAAAATTATAAATCAAAAGGAAACATGTGTTTGTTGAACTAACTTCCACAAATTTTGAGATATCGGGCTATTTATAATCTTATTATATTCTACAGTCTTTTCTATTTCATGTATAATTCTTTAAGATTTAGTTGATTAGACCAAGCTTTATACGCGATCAAAGGTTCATATGCGAAATCCATATATGGACCATGTAACCTGAAGTCCCAAAGTCAACATCGATTTAACATTTACGTCGACCGCAAAACTCCACTTGTGTTACTAAGCTGACTCTCTATCAGTTCATAAAAAGGTTAAATTTAAAATTTAAAAAAGTATGCAAATTAAAAGAAATAGAATATTTTTAAAATAAATAGAGTTGTTGAAGGTTATCAAGCTTAGCAACCACTGGCATTGAATTTATTATGACGATGTTAAATTTCATATATATATATGATGGATGGTTCGTACTTTGGGACGCACTCTTATGACAACGTAACATTGCAAAAATACATTAAAAAGCGATACCCTAATCTGACCTAGAATAATGTAAAGTTATACCCAGAAAAGGATGGAGCCCGTAAAATTTGTGTAAAAATTATATAAAAATAAAAAAAGTGTGCAAATTAGGAATTTGCACATTGCTTTGTCAACATTTTATTGTGCTCATAAAGCTTCTTCTATGAGGAAGCCAAACTAATAAATACTAAAAATTATGCATCAAATAAAATACAAGCTTTCATAAGAAGAGCTTTGTGAGCGCAATAAAATGTTGATAAAACAATGTACAAATTCCTAATTTGCATACTTTTTTAAATTCAAATAAATAGTTACAAAATATTTGTATTTTCCTTCAATAAGATTGTGTAATTTTAAAGATTGCGATCTTATTGTGTCAATTATCTAAACGTACAGCTCTGATACATATTAGAACGCAAATAAACGTTCACTTTAAATCGTAAATATTAGATTCTCATGACTGATAATTGGACGACTACAATTGGTAGATGCGTGTATGCATGCATATTAAACGATGCATGCTTCTTCCACCATTCTATCGATGAAACCTAACGATAAAGCATATAATAGCATTCGAAACGTTCCCAAGAGCTGAATATAAAGTAAAGGTACCAATACCCGTACACTTAAGCATAGGAAATGTACCAATACCTGGACACGTATCTATGTCTGGATACCTTTAAAAAAAATATAAATTTATGAAAATAAACGTTTGGATACTATAACTAAAGTTTCAAACTACAAGAAAAAATACTTTTATCTTTGATTTTAATTCGCGTTACACTACAAAAAGAAATGTGTCATTTTTACACACTTTATCGTGTGTAAATTAAATTTACTTCAAGTGTGTTTTTAATTTACACACGATAAAACGTGTAAAAAGTCTACAATGAATAATGCACTTAAAATGTGTAAAAGTAACACACTTGTGTTTGTAGTGTGCAGTCTTCAAAAATAAAGATATCATTAACTAAAATAAAGTTACATTAATGTCACATTAATCCAAAAGTGTGCCACGCTTTATTATAAAAGTGGACGCCACGAAACAACTTATATATGATACAAGTTGTGCAATGTGCAGTTCCGTCATCATTCACTACAAAAACAAATGTGTCATTTTTACACATTTTAAGTGCGTTATTCATTGTAGACACTTTTTACACACTTTATCGTGTGTAAATTAAATTCACTTCAGGTGTGTTTTTAATTTACAGTCTCCGTGAGCTTTAAAATGTCCACAGTACTGCTTATACGGCGCTCGGCCGCTAGCACGCGCTTGGATGGGGGAAAACGGCACCGCGATCCGGTCTCTGGCGATCACTGTACTGTAGAGACCGCGGTACAATATTTTCTGTTCTGTAGGACAGGCCTGCGATTTGTGCGATTTGTATTTTTCGGCCGATTTGTTGTAATAATCCTTACTTCTTTTGTTTCGAAATTTCGCTTCCGTGACTAGTCTATAATAGATGCTACGAAATAAGGGATAATTTGTATATAGTAATTATTAGGAAGAGTCGCAAGCTCGTGCGGACATGTAAAACCAATTGTTTGAATTTATTTTCCAATAATAGAAGATTTGATTGTTTGAATAATTCAAATGTGAAAGAAATTTTGAACGAAAATAGTTGTGTTTATTGCGGAGCAAAGAGTAAGTATTAATTTTTATTTTATTCTGTCTCTGGATACAAACTTACCTGTATCCAAGTTTCGATATATTTGTCTATAATTTCAAAAAGAATAACGTGAGATTTGAGAAAGTTTACATTTTTTAAAAAATTTTAAATTAATATTAAGAAAGAACATCGTCTGCATTTTTCTATTTCTTTATTTTTTAAATAATAAATCAGAATTTTGTTTATCACGTTTTTATATTCGATATTTACATGAATTGAGCAGCATGTGTTATTTCATAGTGTAGTACTATGTGTTTCTGGATGCATCAGAAAAAATTTATTTATATTCAGAGCAATACATTTATTTCATTACATAAATGTTACTGATGGAAAATAAATTTCGATAAAGTGTAGTAATATTTTAT